GCACGGCCTGAGGGCGGGGAGCGCACGGGCAGGGCCGGAACGGCGCCGGGCAGGGCTGCGGTGGGCACAGGGCACGGCAGGGGACCGGTGAGCGCTGCGGACCCGCCGCAGAGCCGAGCCCGGGGGTCAGCGGGACGATGCCGACAGCGCTGCCGATGGCGGGCGGGGCGGGGCGGCGACACCGTCGGGGGAGCGGCGCAGAGGGGAGGGGGATGGGACCCGTTACCTCCTCGTTGTACCGCGCCAGGACGCGCTCCACCGCTTCGGCGCCGCCGTCGCCGCGCCCCTCCACGGCCTCGAGCACCGCGCCGAGCTCCGCGCCCAGCGGCGGGCCCGGCTCCGCGCCCGGCTCCATGCCCGACCGCCCCGTCCCGCCCCGCCCGGCGCCGCCGGCAGCGGCAGCGGCCGCGCCCCCTGACGCGCCCGACGCGCCCCGCGGAAGCCGCCCGGACGGGCAGGCAGCGCCCGCTCGCCATTGGCTGGAGGGGCCGGCCTCGCGCACCGCCGATCCCTACTATTGGCTGCCGCCCCGCCGGCCGGCTGTTGCGGAGAGAAGACTACATCTCCCAGCATGCAGAGCGGCGCGGCGCTGCGGCATTCAGCGGGGTGTGTGGGGATTTGTTGCCGCGGGGCACCATGGGTGTTGTAGTCCATGCCCACAGCGCCGAGGGCTGCCGCCGGAACGGGCGCGGGGCGGGATGATGGCCGCGGGTTCGAGTGCCGAGCGGGCACAGCCCTTCGGGATGCTGCTCCTTCGGCTTTGTGTGCTCCCTACTCTGTGCACACCGTGCCTGTCACAAGGCGAAAGGCTGCCAAAACCAGGGCTGGCCGCTTTTTCTTAAGCTTTTAGGTCATTGGGCTCCCACTGCGGGCGAAGTCTGTTCCCTGAATTGGGGCTTCGCCACAGCGCGTGGCAGCAAAAACCCCTTTTTTTCGAGTATAACCCACCATAACAATGGTGGTACACGAAAATTCTCCCTGTTTTGTTCAGGAAGCGGCAGAAGAGGAAGGTGGGCTGCATCGGCAGAGCCAGGCAAAGGTGAGCCGTGTTTTTGTAAAGGTTTTGCAAGACCGTGGGTTAAAGCCACACCGAAAACACACAGAGTATTTCCGTACTCAGGGCGCCCTATAATCGAAATTTACTGCCCAAATATTTAAATTAGCAAAAAAAAAAAAAAAAAAAAAAAAAAAAAAAAAAAAAAAAAAAAAAAAAAAAAAAAAAAAAAAAAACATGTTCAGTCAGATCTCTCCTTCAAATACTCATTCCTTCAGTTCAGGAGGTTCTCCGTGAGAAGGAGAAAGTTTTAATCGCAGGAATGAGCGGCCCAAAGTGGAAAATGCCACAGATAGATGGACAGAGCGTGGTGTGAGGGGCCATGTCCCCAGGGTTTAAGACGTGGACTCAAACCCGAACCTGAATTTCCTCCTTAGGGGTTTCTTGCCACGTGAAGTGGGATATAAAACCACAACAGCACCGTCGCTGGACTTTAAGGAATAACAAAATCYAGCCGTCCAGTGTGCAGCCACTTCTGAGTCAGATGCAGACTAATTAGTTTTCAYTAACAGTGCAAACTAATGCAGCTTTGGACAGAAACCCAACGAAAAGAGTCTTTTGCTTGTTTGATTTACAACTCTATAATAAAATATAAGCCTGCTTAGATTTACTTCACAGCACAGCAGAACACTCATTTTACATGCACATAGCCARTCTTTTTGTTTTTTTAATTATAAAACTTAAAACTAAAGATTAGGAAACTGTTACTGCCTTTTAAAGGCACATTGTTATTCATCATCAGCGTGTTTTAGTTTCCACTTTATGTAGCATATGAAGGATTAGGATTTCAATGAAAGAGAGGGACAGAATAAATTGCATCCTCTACCAAAGAACTGCCAGACCTTTTCAGATGGGTGCATACCATGAGCCCTTCCCATGTTAGTCAGCTTTATCTAAACCTTCCAAAGCAATGTCTGCTCCTGAATTTCATGGGTTTCAGGGTCAGTCACAACAGAATTGTGGGGCTGAGGAGGTCAGAGGCCATTTTTGTCAAAGGGTAGTGACCTTAACAGCCAGAGGTAGCCTGACAAAAACAGGATTCATGCTACTGAATGGAGTTCTCACTGCTCTTCCCCCRCTGAGTCTTTTTTCTACCTGGTAATGAAAAATCTTGAAGAATTGTAATGGATTTTTATAYACATGCATACAAATATATCTATGTGTGTGTAGATAAATTTAAAAATATTAACTGTTATGTCAGTTATGCTGTAATATATGGTATTAGTTTCTATTCTACTGTATGTTRTAGATCTATCATGTTGTATATTTTAGCCCAAGAAGATATTTTTGTAAAAATGTGCATTTGTGGTTAGAAAAAAGAGAATGTAAGCAAGAAATTTAAAAAAAATAAAAGAAAAAGGAAAAGGAAAAGAGAGAAAAAAGAAAAAGGATAGGAGATAGGAAGGAGAAAGAAGAAAATAGGAAAAAAAAACCATCAGAAACTGCAATTGAGATTGAATATTTTGGAATGTGGCATATCAGTTTCTTCACAAACACTTGTCTAATCAYATATTTACTTTATACACACAGAAACGCATGGCTTGGCAAGAAACCCCAACTTTTATCTCCAGGGTCTAGGGAAAGGATTCATTTGCAGGCTGCAGACTCTGACTCAGGAGTTTTGGCAATTTGTACTGGGATGATTTAAGACGTTCTTGCCTCTCACCAGACCTTCCACCCAGAGGTTCTTGTGCTATCCCGAGCTGCTGCACTCCCCAGCCTGGTGCTGGGGAAAGTTCCCTTTGTCTGCTSTGCTGGGYTCTGAGCAGTTCAAAGGTATTTGGARATCCACATTCAGACTCCTAAGGCATCAACACAAGTGTCTCAATATTWAAAAAAAAAAAAAAAAAAAAGATAGACTGTGGAGGGTTTTTTTGCAAAAGACTTTCCAAGCCTTGTCTGACTGATGATGCTCTTGGTTCTTTTTTATGAGCAGCTTAGTGGTGCTGCTGTTAGTCAGAATTCCCTCTCCACTCAGAAAGGTTTTCTTATTTCTGGATCTCACCCTGTGTCCAATATCCCTCCTCATTCCTGAACAGTCTGCCTGAGCTCTTGAAATCAGRGTAATGGAGTTGTCCCTAAAGATGTTGAAGGATGTGGAACATTTGTATACTAACAGTCCTGTTTTCTCCTCTCTTTCAGTCAATGGGGATTAGACATCTTTTGGTTCACAATTGCATCTGGCTTCCAAAAGACCCTTCCAAAGACTCAGGTTTGAGTTACTGGCCAGTTTTACTCACAGGCATCTCACCAATGCATCTGACACTTGGAGGGACCGTGGCAGGTCATGATCAAAACTCCATCAGGTGGGTGGAGGTGCATCACTCCTTTGCCATGAATTGTACCTGCTCTAGAGTCCTTCACTGGATAAAACATACGTGATGACATCTAAGGTCTTTTGAAGGCTTGCAGCTTGTAGATCTTTTTGTATTGAAGTAAATTTAAATGGCATCTATTTAATTTCAAGAGCTTTATTTGGGTGTGAAAATCCCTCATATATCTTGCACAACTGTACAAATAACACTTATGTCCATTTTAGGCATAGACATGGTTATTGTCACACTGAGTGCTATCAAAGATTTTATTTACAAAACAATTACTAAAATGCCTGTTGTCATATTTCCATTTATTTATTTCTTACCCATAGGGTAATAGGTCCACCATAATTGCTTGGTGTGTTTTATAATACAGAAGAAAAAGCTATGTTAATAAAAACTAACAAAAACTCACAAATAGCTACAAATCTGACAGAAAATGTCTAAGAAAAATTCTCCCCAAAATACAATACATTTTTCCACACATACACAGTACAGGATAACTTCAAAGGCACAGCTTTGAATTTTGCTTTTGTAGACATATAGAGAATTATCACCACGTGAAGGAATTGAGAGAACAGTTTCATACCTGTCAATAGATAATTAAGCAAATAATCATGTTTGCATTGTCATTTTCTTTATATAATTGCTTCATAGCATCATATTTAACATATGTGGCTCTGAATCCAAAATCTTCYCAGTCCCCAAGTCCCTTCTTACCTTGTCATTACTGACCAGAGAAGTTAGATTTTTCCAGATTGTGCAAACTCAACACAAATACATATATAATAAGAACAATAGTCAACTTAAGGCAGTGTATAATTCAATGCTACATGTCTTTTTTTTCTCTTTTGTGAAGATCAAACTTACTGGATCAACAGAAAGGTGCATCAATATACAAAGTTAGGTGTAAACTGAAACCTACAGCAACACGTGTCTTTTTAAGGAACCAGACAGAGGAATTGGTATGAATAAGTGATGACTTGGCAGAATGGTTTTTAAGGAATGCGTTAAGAGCTTAAAGAAGAAYAGATGATGGAGTTTTGCTGAGGGTGAATTTCCTGTCTTTAATTCAAATTATAAATAAGTCCTGTTCCAGTACTTTTTTTTTGTAAGACTCATTAACATTTGTCAACAAGAGAGGGGGTAAAAATGTCTCACTCAAACTGAGAGCACACAGGGTTGGCACAGAATTAGAAAAGGCACAGGGCGGCCCAAAAAGTGGTCTAGAACAGCACAGAAGCATTTTTCGGCTACAGGAACATTCAGTCATACTGGTCTGCAATCTGCCCACGTTATGAACTACATTTATCTGCCCGGGATCTTCTCCATTTTCACCTCCCTTGAAGAACGTCCATCGAAAGTCCCACACAGCACAAAGTTTTTATAACTCTTGTAAGTACATGGGCTTAGCTGGTACCAGTCCTCTTCACTTAGCCCAGCCTGTGGTGGCTTCCCCATTGATGTAGGCAAAGCCAGGAAAGTGTTGCATGTGCTCATACTCAGAATTTCTGCGTGTTGTCAAGGGGGTGTACATGTCACTGGAATTCCCATATCTTGTGGAGTGCATGGATGAGCTTGTGTAGCAGGAATTGGCAGCTGGGACCTCTGGCCAGCGAGGAGTCACTGGTGTGGGATGCAGCCTGGGAGTACTGCTCATCAAACAGGGCTCCATTCTTGATGTTGGGCCATTGAAAGGGTACTGCAATTAAAAAAAAAATTCAAATAAAAGCATCATCTGCCACACACTTCATTTTAAAATAAGGCTGGTGGTGTCACAATTTGCCAAAATCATATGAATTAGTAGCTATCCAACAACAAGGTATCATACTGAAGGTGGAATGTCAGATAACCAAAGTTTCAGGGRAAGTCTTGCAAAAGAGTCACTGATTAAAAATATTGAATTTATTTATCAAAGYGCTTAGGAAATGGCACGTGTATCTGGAAGCAGAAAAGTAGATTGAATTAATTTAATTTTTTTCTCCCACTCTTACTCAAAAACTCACTATCTACTAAAAATCAAATTATAAAATGTCTCAACTCTTCCTCACTCAACTGAGTTTTGAGAGAGGRGAGCAAAAGGATCTTTATTTCTGAGATAGTGACTTCCCTTTTAAGTGTTCACAAGACATCCTCACCATTTCTGTAGRAAAACAGTACGGTCTGGCCTCAGAGCCAGCAGCTAAACGGAGAACTTATGGAAACAGGCAGGCAGGAGAAGAATCTCTGCACTCCCCAGCTGTTCACAGTGACACTTGGAAACCAGAAATCAAAGGAGTTTGACAAATGGCATCCACTAAGGAGAAGATGTGCTGAGGACAGGATAGGCAGGAAAACAGAACAGCTTTTGCCCTCCATAGCCACAGGCTGCCCAACAACAGAAAGTAAATTGTGCTTGTGAGTGCTTGCTTAGCATATTTTTATCTTACTGCTTGTCCTGCGGGAGTACATCATCTGTGTGCTGTGTCTGAGGAAGGCTCTCCCTGTTCTATTCCCCTGTTACCCCTCTGCATCACAGAGATGGTTAGGATCCCTGCTTCTCTTAACCAGCCACGTTATCTTCAGAGCTTCTGCATTTTATATCTATATRCCTTTCCTGCAAAAAGGGTCACAATTTAAAATTTTGATGCCTTGGGTTGTTTGACACTGTGGTAGTTCACCAAAGTAGGGCTATCACCTCTTCTGATGCTTACAAACTGCATGCCAAAGCTTTYTATGGCTGTAAAACCCCTTCCCTACATTTTGGAGCCTTACAGAGAGAAAAGCTGGAGAAGTTGTTCCTAAGAGGGAGGTGACAGTGATTCCCAAAGGGTCTCATTGCATTATTCCCCAGCCGGATGGGCCCAGGGTTAATCAGTTGCATAAGCAACTGTTACATAAGGCCAAGGCAATTACAGCAGTGTCTCCATGAGGAGTTTGTGCTGTCTCCCTTCAGACCACAGCCAGGAAGGCAGCCCAGCCTTAGCAAACATATTGGAGCAGTTCACAAGCCTCAGGCAGCTCAAAGCCACACTCTGGCCACTTTTAATTAAAGAGGAGAAAAAGAACACTCTTTTTGACCAGTGATTTAGCATATTCCTGTGTGTCCTGGAGAGACAGGCCAGGAGAGGAACACATCGAAGGTGTCATCTATCCTGTGCTTCCCATCACTACAGGGGATGGATCTACCTGTGCCATCCCAGTTGTCAAAACASGATTTTAAATGGTAGCACCACCCCGAAACATCAATGCTTCAACACTCCGACTGYCAGAGTAAGCTGCACTGGCAACATTGACCACAGATCTGCACAGCACCATCTAAATTTCCATCTTTATCCCAGAGAAAGGCTTTTCAGCAGGAAAGTTCAGCAGAACTTACATTACTGAGTGTAAAAAGCCTTATATTCCCTTGAAGAACAATCAAGTTTTCAGACTTGTTGGCTTTCCAAAAGCTTTYGTTGAAGATGAGAACTTCCAGTGACCAGCAACAATGACAAGCTCTGCAGCAATATGTGGCCTTAGCTAAAAACATTCTTCTTTGTCTTCAGCAGCATTTTACTTGATACCTGTTACTGTGGTACCCATTGATCTATGTTTGAAGTCACTGTAAATTCTTGTATTAAAGACTATTCTTACACCAGGGTTAACCTACACGTCTGCCATAACACACCAATGATTATCTCTTGTCTTCTTCCCAGTGAGATAATTGATCTATTCTGCTGTTAACCATAATGGAAGCCTTTGCCATCCTAACTCAATGCAATTTTCCTTTGAGGTTTTGAAATGGAGGTTGTGACTTGTAACAGGGTAATTACTTGTTTTCATATCCCTTACAAACACCAAGAGAAATCCCTGTCTTCAGCCTGGATAATTTGCTATTTGAAAATCTGTAGGCTGCAAAACTTTTCACCTATGAGCAAGAAGAAGAGAATGAACTCTGGGAATGTCGTGGTGGGTCTCTGTGTGGTACACAGCAGAATGTGGGCAAGCCATGATGTCTTTTTGCTCGTTTGGAACCACAAAACCCATGCCACCGAGTGAATGAAATCTCAGCTCCCAGAATAAACTTCAGGAGGCTGAAAAAGAAAGATCCTCCTCCTCCAGTGTGCAGCCCCAAGGCCATGGCTGGGCTTCCCAAGAAAGCAGGGGAATGGCTGTGCATGAGGGGACAGGATACAGCGTGCTGCTTTTCCTTTTCATCAAGCACACCCGATGGATGCAGCTGTGTSGATGAATGTATCATGAATATAAAAAGAATAATTGCTTGAAAATAACATGGACTCTAAATAATCCAGTATTTTACAATAAATTCTGTTATGACTGAATGCAAGATGGAAAGTTTTGTAACGGTAGGTCAGCTAATCGCAAATGACTCAGTGGCTTCTTTTTCCCTACAGTGAAGAGACCATTGAAAGACAATATTTTTAAAGTACCCATTGGCCCCTGCCTGACTATTAACTTACCCAATGAAGCATCTATTCAGCCTTGTTGGAGTGTCCAAAGCAGAGCCATCTGGGCGGATGCCTGCCCATGCTGCCTGAATCACCTTTCACACTCTACATCCGGTTTCATGAAGAGTGCTTAAGCTGAACTCAAAACACTGGGGCCTAGTGATCTTTGCCYGATATAAAAGCGACATTTGTTGGAGGACTCTTGACAGGAAATTACCATTTTCTGGGTTGACTCACACTTGCTRCTACTGCTGCCATTAGACCTAGACAAGAAGCCCTTTAAGCCTGTGAGACTTTGAGCAGATTATTGTTAAGGCCTTGCCCAAAAAAGTAAAATTAATTCAATTTCTTTGAGTATTATTTTAGAAAATATAATGTTAAATATGTCTTTCCATGAAGTGAAGGCTGAGTTTCTGTTGTGAGAGGATGGAGAATAATCCTTATTCTCAACTCACCAATCAATTATACATGGAAGTGAAAGGTTTCAATGTCCAAACAGCAAAATATTTTCCTTATGAATGTTCCTCTGACTTTACATTGTATTAGCTCCCACTTTTGCTGATTGTTGAAAATGAATGTTGCACGYTGGCCACTGTGTTAAGACTTGTGAATAAAACAGACCAGAAACTACTGAATTATGAGGATCTGGCTATAAATTAACTTMATAAAAATATGTTTGAATCTTACAAAATGACATCATTGAAACTACTGATTAATTGCATCCTTATAACCCTTAATTCGACCCTTTTCCCCACAAACTGAACCTTATTGAATCTGTTCATTAGGCTGGGTGAAACTCTGAAGCCCATCTAAGTGATTTTGGTACTTTTGGGAGTGGCGTTTGGAGCCTTAGGAAAATGCTRTTTGTAATTATCCAAAAAGAAGTTAAGACATCTGTTTCCTGTTGCATTCAATGCATAATTACTTCAATTACATGCTAACAATCTCGAGGCCGTTGTGAAGCCATACAGTTGGGAACAATGACTCTTGCTGCATGGGTGGGATTCGGGCAGTATTTTTGTCTCTCTGTCATTACCAGCTGTTTGATGACAGAGTGGTTATTGGGAAGGGTGTGTTRTTCTTACTGCATTGCTATAGTCATGAGTTTATTATGTGTATATGCTGGGGGATTAAGAACTTTTCCCCTCTTTTTTTTTATTTTTCTGAAGTAGATGGGCCAGAATAACATGAATGGACACTAAAGAACAGGCTCTGTCTGAGAAGGGATTTTCTTGGCTCCCTCATTGTCACAAAAACAGTTATTACTGTCTTCCAGTACAGCTCCTGTGTAAATCCTGCTGCAGATTAATCTTTCAATGCATTATTTTACAGAAAAACTGAATAGTGCTGCATGCTGCAGCCCTGGGAAGTTATGTGAGAGCACTGCAGCCTCCAGAGCAGTTTCGGAGAGTCAGAGTACAAGCGCTGCTTAAAGTTRCTTTAACTATGGCCCAAATATTGTACTCTGGGCCTGTGAAAGGTGCAGACCCAATCTCCTGCATCACAGCAGACTGTACTAGTGCAGCATGTTCCAGAGTGATTTGTTYTGCCCAGGCCATGGAAGTAAACTATGATCTTCATAAATGCTGCTTAAAGGCAGCATAAATRAATAAATAAATAACTACATACATAAATTCTTGTTTTTAAGAATTTATTTACTGGCCAGTAAGCCAAATGGAGAACTAATYGAGGAGCAATCAGGCCTGGAATTACAAGTAAGGAACTGGTTTGATAATTATTCAAGAAGGTGAGGGAAGAAGAAAAAATACGGATTAGACCAAGGTTTAAACAGACTGTTCCTGTCATCAAAAGGAGTCTTAACTATCAGTGGGAAYTAGTCAGCCTATGCTGCCAGATCCCCACCTGAACTTTTGGAGAGCTGTACACAGTAAAATATCTACATCTGTCTGACTTCTTCCCCAGCACCACTTCACTGACTCCATCGAACCAAACCCCTCAAAGCAGCTGATAGAACCTGGAGGATGTCACTCTTTTCCACAGAATGAGTTGGACATGATTTTCTTCAAGACCTAAGTAGTGATTTATAGCTGCCACTTAAACCACACCTCAACTACATGTCACCTGTTTTRGCTCAGATCCTTGTCAGGAACAAGGGCTTTCCCTGAATCCATGATTGTAGAGGAGAATTTACCACACACACATAGGAGTTAATCCCCAGACACTATCCTAAAGAGCATGGTAAAATAGTTGCTAGAGCTGAGCCGAAATGCTATATTTGGCCAGATTGTAGATTATAACAAAGAGTTCTTTTGAAAGTTATGATCAATGCCTCCTCTTCTCAGCTGATTATKCTCCCACAGCTCTACACATTGCAGCTCCTTTGGTTTCAGTATAGCAGCAGCCGTTGATAGACTCATTGTAAWTTTGGCTCCTTGTGTTTTTATTTTGCAACATCACTAGTCCTACTGCAATTCCTTGCAACATGTTCCACTCACAAAGACCATTAGAAAAAGAGCAGTTCCCTAATACCTTATCAGAGACCTCTTATGAACTTTTTCTTCASTAAAAGTAGCTAAGAAAGGACTTATGATAAGGGCAGGCATTTTACAGACACTAACTTGGCTTTAAAAAGGCTGTCAGCAAATTCTGTATCAAACTATTAAAGACTTTAAGATAATTTTGCAAAAGTAAGGTTCTAGATTGTAGCTCCTCTCAATACAACACAAGCACATTGACAGGGTTTTGTTGGCTGTGTCCTGCTGTGCCATTCCATCTCCGTTTATAAACAGCATGAGAAAGAACATACTACATATAAATTGAAATAAATTTCCTTTGAAGTGTGATCATTAAAGTGTAGCTGTTCTTCATATGTGTTCAGGGCAGTTCAAAGACTAGCAAGAGAGGAAAAAATGATCTGACATCTGCACTTGTAGAGACAGCCTATTACAGCATGAAAGATATTTACCTGAGTTCAGTGTTTGCTACTCTGCATACAGCACGTTAACCAAGACATGASTAAACTAAAAATGTGCTTTACATGTTTCTTGAGGTAACAGGGTAACACCTACACTAACAAATGGAGGAAAACAAATCTGTCCCAGGACACTGCACTTAAATGTTCAGTCACTTTCCYACTGGAGGTACAGCAGCTGCAAAAACCCTGGGACAAACGCAGACATTTGTGTAGTGTGATAGACCAGGTGCTGCACAAATGGGTGAGGAGTTGTAGCTTTTCCTTTCCATAAGCCAGGGAGCCATTGTTGAGCTGGTCCAAAGGAGCCTATTGGGTTTATACACATCTCAAAAAGCTCAGTACCATTATTTGTATCTTACAGCTAGGGAGAACAAAGCATAAAAGGGAGAAATCACTGCTCCAAGATTRCGTGGCAAACTGATGCCAATGACCAGAATGAGATGCAGCTTTCGTATGCTCTGATTCAAAGCACTGTCAAATTCCCATCTTTMTATCTGGTGTGAAACTGCTGCAGTCCAGTGATGCCAGTCAAACATGGCAGTCCCTGATACACTTTTCTAAATTTCCAGTGGATAAAGTGTGAGTGGTGCCATGTGGGTGGAATACTCCAGTGCCATCAGCTCCTCCCTGTCTCCCTTTTGCTCTTCTCCCAGCAGAGACTCCGGGGAGCAGCTGCCTGCACTGGGGAAGCACCAACTGCAACAGGTACTAAAGCCCTCCAACAGTGGCACTGCTTTTGAACTCTTGTCAATTCTGATCTTCACACTTAATCCGTGCTGGCTCCTACTGGCTCAGTTTCATTAAGTGGAAGAGCTCCTGATATAATTTCTCAGTATTATTGTAGGAGACTACAGGGTACAGATTAAACAACCTCTGCAGTGGGGTTCTGGAGTTATTCAGAMTTCATGCAGAACTCACTGTTTTGGCAAATTCCTAAACATGGTTATTCCCAAAAGCAGAGACTSCAGAAGAATTCACTATGGTCTCTGCACCTTCAGCTATATGAAAATACTTTTATTTCTTCTTTAGAGATCTCTTCCTGCTCCCAAAACCTAAGAATCATTCAACTATTATAATGACTTTTGCTTTAGCTACTCCTTGAAACAGAAACACTTTCCATGATCCAGACTGCTGGATTCTAGAGTCAATATATATTCACAATCTAAAGCTACTTTCTGATCTCCACCAAAATGAAAAGATACCTAGGTGATATTATAAAATAAAAAAATGACRAGCCATCAATGTCTAGACAGATAAYATGCTGATACATTTACAAACTAAATTTATTTACAATTTTATAACAACTATCATCAAGTAATAAATGCAAATTACCTGTGAAGAGCTTCTGTGGTAAGCTGAGTAGTGAAGTGGTCCAGAAATAGCAGTGTCATGTGGTAGGGATGGATACTGACTCTGCATTGGATGGGGATGCTGGTTGCTATAGCTACCATAGTTATAACTTCCTGTGTATCTAAAATACAAAAAAAACCCCAACATTTTAATATGTATGGTAATTTATACCCACTAATCATTTCACAAATTTTATGTGAAACACACCATTGTTTTTAGGTTTTCTTTTAATAGGAGGATGATATTTTAAATCTTTTTCAAAAAGATTTTCCAACTCAGACGGGAAAACAGATGCCTCTAGTGAAAGCATCAAATAGAGAGACCCAGCATRAATCTGTGACTGATTTTAAACTGCAGACTCAGCTCTGCACTTTCTGAGTAGAAAGTATCTTTCCCTTTTATTGTTATCTAAAGCCATGTTCCCAGTAAATTGCTATCCAGGCTGAGGAAACATGGTAATCTTTGAAAATTACAATGATTTCAGCTATCTCCTTGTACTGAAGTCAGATTTTTTTTTTTTTTTTTGAGAGAGAGCGAAGTGCAATGTTCAGCTTTAGCACAGCCAACTCAATAAGAGAGTGGGATATGAAGCTGAAGAACCCGCTACTTTTCTTTTGATTCCCAACCTCCTGTCTGGKGACATCCAAGGGCAAAGGAGGGAGCAGTTTCTTTGGCTCCTGAGTCAGTGTTTCTTGGCCACCATTGTTTGGACCTTCACTAGCAGAAGATGCATGGAGAGTTTCTGCAATCTCCCCATCTTTGTGAACACGTGAACATTTGATCTTCATGGTCTTTCAGGAACAATGATTCACCTAGATTAAAATGATTCACCTAGATTAAAATGTCTCCTCAAATTACCATAATTCATTCAGCACCTGAGGCAAGGTTTTCCTGCAGGAACAATGAATTCTCACATATGTACACACATTTAAATAATATAGACACGGCCTTAATGTGGYCTGTTCCAAGTCTTGAATACTAAAAAGCTCCCAAACCTCTGTGCTGCTCTATTTCTGCCTCCACCAAACAGTCCTATTTCTGGATAAGAGAAACAGTTCAAACAGTTATCTAAACCTATTTTTTTTTTTTTCCAAGATGGAAGAAGATGCAGAGTTCAAATTAATCCTTCCAAACAGTTTAGAGTCATGCTGGGAAAGTACTTCTGCAATATTAATGAGTTTGCACCAAGACTGAGGAACACAGTGAAGCCTTTTGATCCTCTTGCATCATGGCASCACCTGGGCATTTTCTAGTTTTGCTACATGTCTGGTCCTTTTCCATCAATTAATTTATGATTTTTTTTTTTTTAGTTATAGATATCTGTGAGCTATGCACTGAATTGAATGAGGATGGCAYAAAAAACAGCACAGAGAGATTTAGTAAGTGTCTGAAGTTTTTCCAGATCAAATAATGTTACATAAATTTATACTTGTAATTATTTTAATGGAGARCCTTGAGCAAATTTGGGTGATGGAGAAATGAGGACATTTTTTTCTCTGCAGGTTAACAGTAGTCATTGAATCACTGAGGTTGGAGTTGATTTAGTCCAAACCCCCTGCTCAAAGCAGGGTCCASTAGAGCAGCCTGCCCAGGATCGTGTCCAGGTGGAGTCTGTCCACCTGCTCCTRTGTTTGACCACACTTACAATAAAACAAGTTTTTTTGTCTATTTATGTTCAAACAGAATTTCTTGTACTTGTGTGTTTGTGGCTTCTTGTCCTGTCATTAAATAGCACTGAAAAGAACCTGTCTCTGTCTTCTCACCATCACCCACTGATAAAACCCACCCTGAGCCCTCTCTGAGCTGAGCTAAACGATCTCAGAGCCCTCTCTGTATGACAGATAGTCCAGTCCCACAATCATCATCAAAGTGGCCCTTTCTGGACTTACTCCAGAGTGCCTGGTTCTGTCTGGGACTGGGGAGCACAGAATTGGATCCAGCTGTGGTCTCAGCAGTGCTGAGCAAAATAGGATCCCCTCTCCTGAGACATGTTATGGTAGGGCTGTTCTCTAGGCACATCTAGCTTTTCAAAACATGGCACAGGAAAACAGGAATCAGAGAAGAAATCTACTGAAGCCTTCTCTTTTAAAAAATATCCTCCAGGCCTACTGTGGTTTTGAATAGAACTAAATGAGATTATAAAACTAAGACATAATATAATTATACAACAGCAACAACAGCCAAAGAATTATGATACCAGCATCTCTGCAATACAGACTTAACCACATCAAGAAACAGCTTTTACTGTGTTTCAAAAAAAGCACCTAAGCATAATTTCATCCCAGAAAAACCCCCAGAAAACTCAAGGCACTGGGAAATGGCTTACCCATGTTCTTCTCTGTGGGGATAAACAGGTATCCGGTGTGTGACGGACGATGAAGGGACGTGGGGGCTTCTCATGCAGGGCAGCTGCTGGGAATTGTCAGCAGGTGAACCAGCGGCTGTTGTCACGGTGTAGGTGAGTGACCACGTGTAGGATTGCATGGCCCCTGCAGACAGAGAGCCAAGGAACACAGTTAACACAGGCTGCCATCACAGAGGAGATGTGCTTTGAGACAATTGTGTGAAAAAAACCCAACACACAGCAATCGTGGCACCAACCAAAGTGAGCAAACCAGTCACAAATATAAARACATCTAGATCATTTGGGGCATGCAGGGATCCAGAAGAATGAAGCAAATCTGGAATGGCTGACACCATGGACTTCCAGTGTGGTGTTGAAATAGTTTTGCAGAAAAACCCCAAACCCTGAAATCGGACTCAGAAATGGAAGGACAGCAGTGCTAATATTTTGCTAAYCCTGAGGTTTCTCTCACATGGAGAGGGCTGCTGGCCTGCTCAGCATGGAGGCCTGGACTGAGGCAGGAAGCATGATCAGAGCAATGAAGGATTAGAAAAAAAGGCTGTTATGCAAATAAATTTCTTGAATCCTTTTGCAGTTTGTACCTGTTCCTCCCAGCTAGGCACCAGCCCTTGAAGTGACAACACTACAAAGATCCCCAAATTATAACAAGTATAAGGACAGAAATAGCCTGGTTGTTTCCTTCCTGCAAATGTTCCTTTCTTTTTTTTTTTTTTTTAGTGGCAGCAGAGACTGGACTTAATTTATTTTTGTCATGTAGAGCATTTGTGGGAAGAGCAAAGCAAAGAAGTGGATTTTTCCATTTTGCTTAGAAGGTGCTGAGTTTTTTAATCATCCTGATCCCTTCCAGGCAGGAACTCCAGCTTCATGAGCCAGCTGCTGAGAAACCTTTGTCCTCTGCACACACCCCTTTCACTCAGGAGGCTGACAGATCCATTGTTGCAGCTCTTGCTGGAGGTCATGACCAGACTGGCTGAGATTACCCTGCAAATGAGGACCAGAACACTGAATTTAACCCAATGAGAGCACTGGTTTGAGGGGCTCTGGGCACTCTTGACTCCTTTTCTTTAGCTAAAAGGAATTGCAGGAGGTGACTCTGTTTTTTTTCAGTATGGATTCTAGGACTTCCTGCAGTGTGAAAGGCTCTAAATCAGAGAAGGAAGCGATTGCACCACCAGGTCTGTGTCCACTCCGTGGATYTGGGAAATGAAAAGCCTATTTCAGGTGTGTGTGATTTTATTTGGCAAAATCGGGCAAACAATTTTGAATTTTCTTTTTAAATGGGAAATGCTGAATTCTGGGACTGAATGAAGGCATTCTGAGCTTTACAGGGTAAGTCCAGCTTGGAATACTTCTGCAGGGTGTGATTTGGTGCTCTTACAAGAGAAATACTTGGATGTATTATGGCCAAGAGTATTTGTGATAGTCTGTTTTTACATGCCTGCATTTTCTGCCACTGGCTCTTTGAATTTTCTGTCTTCATCTTCTCCTGAAGCAGAGGACCACTGAAATTCCCAAGATCCCAAGAAGAAAAGCTAGTCCGTGTTGCCAAATAAGCATTCATGGTTCCTTGAGTTGAGGAAAATTTTTAAGGAAGTCTCCCTTTACCAAAAAATATGGCTTAGGTGAAGGGACCAAAACTACTTATGCAGTTACCAAATAGCTTCATTGGAAAACAAGAGAGTTTTGAAAATATCAACAACTTGTCTGCAGAATATTATAATGGAACACTTCAATTTCTAAAGGTCAACACATTTTCCCAGTGTTATCTTCCAAAAGAAAATTTGCAACTTTCTTTCAAAACAGGCCTAAATGCAAAAGGCAAAAACAAAGAGAAAAGAAAGAAGGACAACAAAGAGRGTGAATAACTCCAAATACTTATTTTTAGGTAACATTGTTGTTTGGGGATTTTTTTCTCCACTTTTTTTTTTTATTTCACCATAAACCAAGTTTTACTTTGACCCAATTTAATTTTTTCCAAAAAAAAAATTGGCCATTGATCCAAAAATCTCATGACCTTCCTAGCTCTAAGAGGCAGTAATAACAGAGCCAGAAGAACCTTTGCATTTTATCTAATACAGTGATTTGACTGGCCCCAGACATTGTGACAACCTCCTTTTCTTTTTTTGAAAAATAGTGGGGATCTCATCATAGTCTGAGGAAAATGAGTGAGTCCAGGACAGCAAGTTGTTTCATGTGCTCCTGTGGGAAGTCAAATTCCTTGGATGAGAGATGCCACTCCTGGCATTCAAATCTAACTGACAGCCACCTCAGTTCAACTTTAAAATAAATAGATGGAGTGTAACAAGCTTTGTGCTTGTCCAGATGTCACAGAAACAAATGTAGAAATGTAGGTCTTGCACTGGGAGGGTTGTGAATATCTTTGTTTAATTCTCCTCACCAAAAATTTTCTGAGGTACTGCAGGATAGTGCCTCGTACAGCTGCTCCAGGGAATACTCCCTGGTTTAGAAACAGAAGTACTTTGGRTTTACTCTGGATTTACACAATGACAGAAAGCAAATATTTGTTTTGCAGAATGTTCTGAGGTACCTACAGTTGCCTCACTTCTCTTTGTGGAAGGGATGCCATTATTTTCAGTGACATAGTTGCAAAGACAGAGAGGAAGGATGGAAGATGATGACAGATTTGCAGACTGTAAGTACATATGAGGTCAACCAGGTTATTGCCATTGTGGTGAGTGGAAAAAGAGGAGTGAGTTAAGTCAGAAAGGTTTGCATAGTTAGATTTTTAATACCTGCCTATGTCCCAGTCCTCTATGAATAATTTTCTCAACTGGTTGCAGAATTGAACTCCAGGAGATGAAGTCTCTTTTAGATATGACTGAACCCAACTGAACTCCTTTTTGGAAATAAGCAAAAACAATAGTGATTGAGCAACAATTTGCTCTGCTTTGTGTTCTGAACATGCAGGGTTTGATTAAAATAGGGAAGTTCATTTATTATCACTCTTTTTTTCTTTCCTCTTTAAAAAAAAAAAAAAAAAGTGATTTTGAGGATACTAACCCAGAGTCCATCTGACCTGCAGGGGAGCCAAATATGAATGGAACTGCTGTTAGTCCAACAACAGCCCTGTTGTCATTGATGCCATCACATACAGCAGTGCAGAAAAAACTAAGAAATTGCTCCACGATGCTGCATTTTATATCTGCTTTAGGCTGGAGCAAGACTATGGCTGAGATTAGGCTGTGCTGTCAGCCTCGAGCAGACAGAAATGCAGAGTCAGATCCTGTTCTGTCCCACACAACAAACAGATCACTTCACCTGTAAAGCTCTAGACAAACACAAGCCCTTCCATCTGAAGGGGGGAATTGTTTTTTGGAACTGAAACCTTTCAGTTTTGCATTCTGCAGCTATGAGAATTAAACTGTGATTGTTGAAGAAGGGCTGATGTTCTTGAATACTCATATGAGTGCAGGAGCTGAAGCTTCAGGAAAAAAAAACCCAAAAATCTGTTCTACTCATGCACAAAAATATGAGAAGTGCTAGATCTGAGCCAGTATCCCCAGAATTTTAATACCAACCATAGACTTGGAAGAACAGTGACTTTTAATGACCATTTCTGACCTGGAGACTTACTTAATGCATAGATTTCTTAAAAAAGAACAGCCAACTCTGTAGCTTACCAACATGTTAGGAGCTAACAATTTAGAGTTCATTTTATCTTGTCTAAAAATGATTGCACTGGCAAATGAGTAATCAGAAGTTTAAGAGRGGCTTTAAGAGAGAACAGCATAGTCAGCCATATAGCTATCACTTTTATTACAATATTGTTGCAGTTTGAGCAATCATTAATCTGGCCTTTGTCATTTAGAAAGGATGGAGGCTAATTAGCCGTTTAACTGTCTAGAAACCTAACAAAAAGTTTGAAATAAAATGTTAGTGGTGCCATGGCAGATGTTCTACCACAGAGTAGATACATAAGGATGCACCTTTCTTTTGCTCAGTATCATGTAATTGCATCAGTTTAATTTGCTGGTTTTGTACTGACCACTGACTGAAGGCAAAAAGGTTAAAAACACAAGTTTAATAGTTAACTTTTATTGCTAATGYCACAAGCAAGGAAGAGTTAATGATGCCTTGAATTGGGGAGCTGAGAGCTAATGGTGACCAGTGGAACTCGTTTTCAAGATCTGCAAAGCATTTGTAGAATTTCACATTTACCTCATAAAAGGCACATGAGAAAATCAATAGAGAACTTTAAATTTGTTCTTCCAGAAYCGAGGTTCCTGTTTCAAAATATTCTACGTAATACCACAGATCTGTATATAAAATATTTTGAGTGTGATACATCTTCAGCATTCTTATTTTAAAATGTGGCAATTTCCTGTAGCTGAGACACAATTATTTTGTGCTGCTTTATGTGAATAAACACTGAATTCCACAGTGTARTGGTTAGCAAACTAAAAACCAAACTAAAACTAGTCCATCTACAYGATAAACATGGGAAACAGAGGTATCAGTAATTGCACAAATGAAGAAAAAAGAAATAACCASATACTCATATTTAATCTTAACCAGAGCATTACTTGCATTGACAAATTTGTCTCGTGCAAGGCAAAGATGATTTTCACAGTCACAAAAGTGAGACCATGAGAGTAAAATCCAATTCAACCAAACAAAAGCGGCTAAAACAACCTAAAAATGAAAAGCTGAGAGAAAAGAAGAACTAAAATAATCAAAAATATCTTTAGTGCCTAAAAAGTTCTGCTATGGGAACAACTGTGGCCTTTCAGTACCTGAAGGGAAAGATGGAAAGGGACTTCTCACAAGGACATGTMGTGACARACTGTCCTGTCTAGGACTTGTGTGTCTCTTGTCTAACTGTCCTGGGAGTGAAAACATCCTATTTCCCTCCTAAATATTGCATTGCCACCAAAAGGGAAAAAGCTGAAGTTATGATGCAGGGCTGAATATTTTTAAATCTCTTTCCAACAAGACATGCAATGTGCTTCCCTGTGGCGCCCTTGAAAACATGAAAAACATTTTTTGGAAAGATTTATTATTTCTCTAGCCACTGCCAAATTTTCTGGTGTGGCAAATCATCGCTTTATGACATTCTTTCAAGAAGATTTTGTAACTTTTCTAGTACTTCACAAAAGCAAGTTTCCACATTCTGTTCATCCTATTCAACAAGGAGCAGCAAAGCTGGAATTTCACTGCCTGAAATGCCTTCTGACATTCTGAATGCCTTCACTCACATTTCTGCCTTTCTTTCCATGAATCAAGAAAACATTGGGTTTTGATCATACAGACTGTCCTGCCCACATCCAAAAGGTAATGAGTTTTATTCCAGAGCACAGAGGGTGTTGGCCATTTATACAGCCAAAACAAGAAGCTMTTTTTATGGTCATTGTTTTCTGTCAATCCTACCCATGGGTTTAAGCAGTCTCCTAAATGCAGATTTTTTTTTTTTTTTAAATCTGTGGGCCCACCAGACCACAACAACTTTATCAGTTGCCATAATAGAATATATCACTGAAAATAAGTTTCAAACACRTAATTCTTAATCTCTGACATGGAGAGGTGGAAGTTATCAGCAATGTGTAAAACATTCCCAAGAGGAACTTGCACAGCTATTTAAATGTATCTGGGTGTTAAATATGTTGAAAGATGCCCATCTCCCACTTTACCAGGTAGGAATTCCTGAACCACTAGTGATTTCAGATTTTGCAAACCTCAATTAACCTAAAATATTTGGCACATTTCCTTCGGGTATATAAAGCATCCAAACATCAGATCTTTTTCCTGGGGGACTGTTTGGATACAGCAAGAGCAGATTTCTGGCTTGGGAAGGCTTYTCATATCCTGCAAGCACATCTTTTCAGGCCCAATTTTAGGTGACCAAGTGCAAAAGCCACCTTCAAGSAGATTTATCTGCCAGAGCCAACCTACCTGTGGAAGCTGTAATGCCACCATACTCTGGGGACTGATTGCTGATGGGTGATGGGGCAGAGGGCACTTCCACGGAGGTGGCAGATTTTGCTGGGGAGAATGGTGCTGGGGAGGGAGTTGGAGCAGCTGGTTCACTCAGAATAATTTCTTCTCGTATTTCTGCTGCAGAATGAGAGAAAAAAACAACATAGCTAAAGGTAGAGTCAAGAACCACCAAGAAATTAAAAAAAATATTAAAATAATGCAAGCAGTCAGGTTCAGTACAAAAATTTCTTACTGAAACATGAAATGAATGCTTAGGAAGGAGATTTCAGACATCCAGGGTGGTGTTGTGAAGCAGACAGATCTCTTTCAGAATGTATTAACCAGGGATGCCTCCCAAATGATTTATTTAATATCATGATACAACTGAAAACGGCCTTGTGTCTGGAGAAACCTCAGTGGGTTAGATAAGGATAAAGAAATGCCCTAACATAAAAAATAGAGAAACCAGTGGAATAAAACAACAAATAATGACTAAAAGATCAGACTCACCTGTGCTTCCTTCTCCTTTCATTGCCCTCATTAGCTCATTAGCTTTCTCCTGACAATGGAGTGATTCTAGCAGGTACAATACGTAGTCATCGAACATCAAGTGAATAAGGTGAAAAGACCCTGGWAATAAAGTGAACAGACAAAAAAGCCATTGACTGTCTCAATACACTCATTAAACCAATTATTACGGCACTCAGCACCAACAGCACTGAATAAGACATGTACTAAAGAATCTCTCTTACTCAAGGTAAGAGAGGTCAAAGTGAAACCAGGGAGCAGCAAACTGTTCATTCCTGGATGTTTCTACAATCAAATGTGGTGAAGGGTGCAAGGAGGATACCTAGCTCAGAGCTGGAATTTGATGGATTCTTCTCCTGCATTRGCACTGAATGTCAATTTTGATAATTGCACTACAGTAAATTGTTTCCTTTGGTCTAAAGGACCTATCATTTTCTGTCAGAAGTAGAACCTCAAACTGSCTCAGTGACACAGCCTGGTATGAATTTTCTGAGCTACCTGCACAGAAAGGAAGTGAGTTGCTTCCCATAATTTATAAAGAACAGGATTGTGAAGAAATGTTTGCCCTGGATCACAAACCACAAGAAAAAAAGATAAGAAAAGACCACAGATGAATTCTGGGGGACAAAGTAAGAGGAGCAAAGCATCAGAGCTGAGCCATAGTGCAGTGCCCTCCTGAAAGAATGAACATCCATCTGCATTGACATGGATCAAGGTGCAATTTGTTCAATTTATGCATTTAAACTCCATAACATAAAGTACCTGTAATAGGTCCAGACAGGACTTTATCATACAATKAGTTTGGTTTTTTTAAAGCTCCTTTGTTTATTTAGACTTGCAAAGAATATTTAACACATTTTCATTTAAGTCACTAAACAACTCTGACAAGTACAAATACAGGGAGGTTAAAACAATAGCTCAACCAGCAGCTAGTTTATATCAGGGAAAAGTCATTATTTGAGACAAAAACAGGGATCAACTGCTGCCAGATAAAAAAAAAAAACACCCAAAACTCTTCATGCAGATGTATTCCTTTGGAAATTTCATTATTGCATTTGGGGAGAAACACTTTCATGAAAAGATTAAACAAGTTTCAAATTCAGTTTGATTTAACAGTGCAAAAAAGACATCTGACACGGCTCATCACCTTGATGCTGACTTAGGATTTTCCCAGTGGAAACCCAGATTTTCAGGAATYTTCACAAAATACTCACTGTTCTCCTGATCACAGTTCCTCATTGGGAAGTTCCTATTGATCTTGTGTAATTAGTACTGACAAATATCTTCAAGGTAAAAAAAAAAAAACCATGCTAAAATGCTGGCAAACTTCMTGTAGTGCCATAAAGCTCTGGGTGTTGCAATTTTCAATCAAACTCCTTACTCGGCTTTAATTTTTTAAAAAAGGAAAGTTGCTTGTAGTTTCACAAAAATATTTGGAAGTGCACACTCTGAACATTGTAATGCTAGCAAGCAAACAACAACAACCCAAGATCTGCTATTTTTAAAAAATGCCTTTGTTTTTGGGGGGTCCAATGCTTTATTTTGAAGACTTGTGGTTGGCAATACTGAATGCAGCACTTAAAAACCACTCCAGTGCCCTTGTCACTCTTTTGAATTTCTCTCTTCCTCTCCTATTATTTCTCCCACTGTGTATTTTTAAGCTCTGCATAGAGTTTTTGAGCCCAGAATTTGCGTGAAAGACACCAGACAAACAAGGTTTTGGTTCTGAATGAATGCAATATTTTTATATTTTTAAGTAAGTCGAATGAAATGTAAGCTATAGAGTGAAACTGATACCAGTGCCTGTGTTTCAGCATTTCAACCTCACAGTGAATGGCTGTTCAATGTACCATMATTTATGCTGTGTTTGCAAGCTGCTGTTTCTCACATGAAGCTGTTGGGTTCTCTCAGGTCTATCTTTAAGTACTGAAATGGATCCAGCAAATCAATCACTTCTTTAGGAAAAGGTAAGAAGTCATTTAAGAGACTGCAGTTAAAAATGATGAACAGAATTCAGCTGTAATTTTCAGGAGTTAACAGAAATCATGGCAAGGATTACCCAGCTAAGATACAGCAAGTGCCAGCATCTATTGAGAGATACAGCAATTATTGTGCAAGTGGCAAAACAACAGYGAGATTTCCAGATCTGGAGAAAATAATGGAGTTTCTATTCCTAATTAGTTACTTTATACACTGAGTTCATTACCCAAACATTGCCACCAACTCTGCCTTTGATATGCATAARCAGGAAAGAGGGAGGCAGGGAGGAAGGCAGGCAGAGGGTAAAAGAAAGGGAGCAAGAGAGAGAGCAGCTTTTTCTTTTTTTTTGTCCTTTCCAGAGATTGTTTTAACCTGCTCATGTCACCATGCTTAACAGCTCTGCAGAATCAAATCTTTGTGACAGTCACTCCGGTGCCAGGTATTACAGCTTCCTTCAGTCAGATTTTGGAATCATCTGTTTCAAAGCTAAAAATATACTGTCCCATATAAAGATCCCATCATTTAACACATTATTTCGTTTAAAAAACCCTAAAATATTACACTGAGAGCATCTGAGTCTATACATTGTTTGAGATGGAAAGAATAATTCAGAATCAGTCCACTGAAACAATTTCCAGTGCAGTAAAAATGTAAAACTTTTTATCTAAATGAAGAACAATGGCATATATATATGGATATTAATATTCAGAACAGTAATGTCTTTGTTTCTCTCCAAGGAACTCACCTAATGCATATATAATTCTGAAATGTATGAACATCTGTGTAAATTAAGTGCAGAAGAATTTCTGCCATCTAGCTCTGAACTTTTTACATTCAGGGCTCATTCTTTTGGAGCTTGCTCATCTCTAATTCACTAACAACACATCAAATGGCTTTGCAGTGAAAGAGTGACACCATTAATGATGTGTAGATGACAATAAATTTGTGTCCATGGCTAAAYAACATTTGTGTGTGACACTACACAAGGTAGGGATAGCCTAGGCTTCTGTCTGATGGGATATGGTTTTGTTATTCAAAATTTCCAAATTTCCAGGCTCCTCCTGCCTCCACTAGCACTGCACCTGAACAGGTCTGTGTTTTTTTGCTGAAAACACAGATGGAAATTGTAACCTCCTTGGAGACACTCACTCATTAATAATGACTCATTAATACCTATTTGGAAAATCGATKTACTGTGGAAATGAAAGTAGCTTCAGATTAAAGTATAAACACGCTATATAAATATATATTCCATGTATTATGAAGCTATAAGATATACTATATAAACAGCATATTGTCTCTACCTGACAGGATCCAAATTTGTGCTTTTAAACTGTTCCAAAAGCATGAAGGACATCAAAGCTCAGCCAGCAGAAAACCTTGCAGTTGTTAAATGCAATGCAATGCCCATATAAAACCATTCTTTATTGATCTTCTAGAAACATATTTGGACAAATKTGCATTTATAGAAAGCATCCCTCAYRCAAAGTCTGGTCCTGAGTGACTGAGTTTTCACAATCRTGGCACACCAGTTTTAACTGATGTTAAACCACAATGTTTTAACTGATTTTAATCTAGACTTTATCCCATTTCAAACAGTGTAGGGAAGTAATACGCTTCTTCATTTAAGAAGTAAAAATAGTTTTTTTTTCATCCTGACTGACTTCTTCAAAAATGGGAGAGACTCTCTCCAGATTAAAGAAGCCCGCTCGTTTTGCAAAGAATGGTTTTGCAAAGAATGGAGAGTTGGCAAAGAGTTTCACTGGAGAGSTTTTCACCCATTTCAGCACAAAATCCTCTCTCTTGGCTCAGCACGTGGCCAGAGTGGTTTGGGTTCATTTTGCACTGAAATCAGGGAATACTCCTGCAATCCACACCCCACAGACAGACAGACAGAGCATTATTCCCAAATATCAATAGCCCCAACCCATTTTTTTTTTTTTTTAACAGAGCCCGGGACATGTGAAAACTGGTTATGTTTCCACTGTAAAATGTACCTCACGAGCWAGGACACAATGTAATTGTTAAATAAAAACCAAAGTACCAAAGCTGGGCGCGCTGTGCAAAGTCATGTCCCGAATCACTCGAGTGCCAAAACAGGACCACATCAGGAGAAACTGCTGAGCTACTTTCTTCAAAGAGCCTTGTCTCTTGGCAGCTACCTGCAAGAAGACAGATGTGTCTGACATGGAGAAACTTTTATTTTAAACCAGCAATACAGCTGAGAGCTGATGTATATATCCACCTTCCTTTTTTTTTTTACTGGAAAATGAGTTATTGCCATCTTCACACTAAAATACACATTATAGATTAAAAAAACCCACACACAAAATGGCCTTAGACAGAAAACCACCTTAGAACCATGGACAACCTTCAGAAAGAGGAAACAATAAAGTATCATTCAAGACTGGAACTCCTTTATACACAATRAAAGGACTGCAAAAAAGTTGTCCTGATCTTTATATTAATTACTTACATGTTCATTCTTGCTCTTTAGTCAAGGAAGCAATTTGTAATCAATAATGTTTGATCTACACTGAAAATTTTTATTACTATTTCAAATAAGGTTTAACATTGAGTATAAAGTTTTTTATTCCTTCATGTTTTTATTTTTGTGAATTCACTCGGTCTGTTTACTAGGAAAAATACTTCCCAGAAAGCACCAAMTCTTAGGCATCAACCCTTCAAAAATATATTTATTATTGCCATATGTAAGTTAAAGTATTAGATTCAGCCAATCAGCTATTAAAACTTAAGTTCTTCGTTAAAATTAACAGCTCTGACCTGAATTTCAAATTGCATTCCACTGACTAGAAGAAAAATTCCCCTAAACAATCAAAGTRTGGCAAGTAATGTGGGGAATTATCAGTTGTTTTCTATATGGCCACTTTGCAGCAGAGAGCTGCAGAGTATTTTGGTTGGTTTGGGTTTTTTCTTCTGAGCTCTAACAACTGGAATGAAGAGTTGAAATTCTAAAAGAACATCCTAATACAAAGAAGTAAGAGAAGGTAAAATAGTCAGTTTTATATTTTCATAGTCTATGTAAAATTACAGTGATGCCAGATCGCTTTTGAAAATATGTTTTAAAGCTTTGGGATTAGTTTTCTGCRTGCACTTTAATTAAAATAAAATACAAATCCTTGGTATTCCAAATCAGCTCCAAAGGAACATAAATGTGTCCTTGATTGAGTGGTAATGTAGATTTTCATTCTTATGACTGTATATAAATGAATTATCTAGCTTAAATAACCTTTTCATTAAAATCTTAAAAGGTTATGTTTTTCTTTGCACTATATCATTAGGATTCCTCTGACTGAATTCATCTCTCCACATCCCTGAAATATTGATTTGATTGGAAATCTCAATCCTGTCCATTCTTGAATACTATCTTTTGGAATAAAGAAGAGAACGAAGCAAAATCCTGAATGTGAGGAATTCTCCACCAAAACTGGTCAGATTTTGCCCACTCCTGCTTTAGTCCCACTCATTACCAATGCCTGCCTTTTCTCTTTTCTTTTCTTTTTTCCTTTTCTTTTCTTTTTTCCTTTTCTTTTCTTTTTTCCTTTTCTTTTCTCCTTTTCTTTTCTTTTTTCCTTTTCTTTTCTTTTTTCCTTTTCTTTTCTTTTTTTCCTTTTCTTTTCTTTTTTCCTTTTTTCCTTTCCTTTTCTTTTTTCCTTTCCTTTTCTTTTCTTTTCTCCTTTCCTTTTCTTTTCTCCTTTTCTTTTCTTTTCTCCTTTCCTTTTCTTTTCTTTTTTCCTTTTCTTTTCTTTTTTCCTTTTCTCTTCTCTTCTTTTCTCTTTTCTTTTTCCTTTTCTCTTCTCTTCTCTTCTCTTTTCTTTTTTCTTTTCTCTTTTCCTTTCCTTTTCTCTTCTCTTCTCTTTTCTTTTCTTCTCTTCTCTTTTCATTTTTCTTTTTTCTTTTCCCTTTTCCTTTCCATTTTTCTTTTTTCTTTTCCCTTTTCCTTTCCTTTCCATTTTTCTTTTTCCTTTCCTTTTTCCTTTTTTTTTTTTTTTTTTTTTTTTTTTTTTTTTTTTTTTGTGAAAATCTCACTGCTTCTTACCAACCTTTACAACACATCTGTCCACCATGGAATCCAGCCACTCGATGTACGACTCGATGGGGGACTGCTCCTCCAAAAGGTGATCAAACTCCTGATACACTAGCACACAAAACAAAACAACAAAACAAAAACAATAGCCCACCTTAGTACTTGGATTCTGTTTCAAACAAAAGAAAAATAAATCACCAAAGGCTCCAAAAGCATCACAAGTTGACTGTGTTTTTAATGAGAGATTGCTTAACAGAAACAAAAAGTTTGTTGGGTCTCTTATTTGATTCCTAGTGAAAGTGATGCAGTCACTAAAAGTGTTATTTTAATGGGAGAAAATCAGAACCTATTTTTAAAACAAGTATTTTTATTTCAGTTGAATGGTGTGCCCACAAGTGAAATGTTTACGGTGTTCTCTATGAAGAGAGAAAAACTAGGCCTTGACCCCAGGAAAAAATGTCATGCATGAAATTGATTTAGAAATGCAAAAAGGATCCTCTGGGCACCAAGTGAATGAGTATTGTTGATAGGGCGCTCATCTGTATAATGCTTTCGTTGCAAAAACATGATTTAACTGCTGCAAATCATCTCTTTGCAATGCCAGACACAAAGAATGTCCAYAAACTTCTGCTTCTTCAAAACAAATTGCTATCAGTAACAAGAGGAGTCACAAAAACAACCTGTATACTTTTCAAACTTTTCCAAGTACACATATTAATGTTTAAATACAAAAAGTTAAACCAAGTCATCCAGCTGCAGTCCTTAAAACTTCAGGTTTCATATCTATACAAGAACCAATGGCTGGAAGACAAAGAATCTTGTGCTTTGACACCTCAACAAATTATTCTTCAACTCAGCTAAAATAAAAAGCCTGGTAGGTCAAGAAGAGAAGATATTTTCTACCTGCTGTRTTACAGGATGATTTCAAAGCATTTCCATTTCTGACTAATTATAAATAACAGGAGGAAGGAATTTCCCACTATAGAAACATTGCTTAGGGAAGAAAGGAAATGGTGTTTGGGCCACCTTTATCTTCTTTCATTGTTTTATTGGATGGGGAACATCTCTTTATTCAGAACAGGATCACAGAGGAATCTGAACGTTGTCTCCTTACCAGAGTATTTGGCTGGACAAAAACTGCCTGATACMACAAAGGAAATAATTCCTGTGCTGTGCAAAGAGGGGAGCAAGAGCAGGAAAACAAATCAGCTGCCTGCTTTGCTGTTGGAGAAATGCAACTGTGTGCAGAGACCTATTTGAGAAAACTAAATGTTCAGCCTTTAGTGATTGTTAAAAGTACCTCAACAGGATCTGAGAAAATGGAAATAAAGCAGAAATTATGGCAGAGATGGGTACCCCAGCAGAGCAGGAAAGAGGTTCTCTTAAACACAGTGTTTTTTCTGTTTTTCTCTAAGTTTGTTTATAGGGTTATAAAACTGCTCGCTTTTTTCTCTTTATAGTAGCTGAAATTGTAATTTTTTGATAATTGGTACCAAGAATGTGAAAGCAGGCCATGCAAGCCATACACAGCATAGTGACAAGCTCTTTGGTCAAGTGGAATAAATATCAAAGATGGKAGGAAAAAAAAATCTAAATTCTAGAATAATCTCTTTATGTATCTGAACATCTTGGTGGCATCCCATCTCATGATGAGGTGATGTGAAGGTTGGTAAAGACAAAGCTCTGTTACCTCAGAGCAGCTAAACTCAGTGTGCTTTGGGTTACACCTGAGCTTTTCCACTTGCTGGATGATGGAAGGAATATTTTATATTTGCAAAAGATCTTTAATTGTAAAAMCAACTTGCCAATACCTCCGAAGTTATTTTCAAGTGCATGCCCTTCACTGAACTAAACAGAAGCGAAATTAGGCAATGAACCTGTATGACATGGGACTTCCACTCAGTCATAAAAGTTCAGGGTGAGAGCTTATCCTGTCAATTGTTTATGAAAGCACTATGTAAAAAGGAGCTTTTTATAAACAAACACACAGCCACTTAAGTGTCAAAGCCATTCAAAAGACAATTCTACAGCAATTCTACAGCAGGAAAGACTGGACTTCCACACGATCAATGGTTAACTCCTAGATTTAGTTTGCTCAGGTTCATGGAAAAAAACCCTCCTGAATTTGATGCAAACCAGTGGCTGCAAAACCAGCACTGCTTTCTCTGAGCTTTGCTGGCAGCAGAAAGCCAAGTTCACCTGGCTGGATTTGAAGATTCTGCTCTTACATTGTATGATGAGCTTCCTGTGCTCCTCCCGCGAGTCCTCCATGGTGTAGAGGGTTTGTTTGGTAATGCTGTTCAGATCCACGTTCCTCCAGTCCTCCAGCATCTGAAATGTGATGTCTGCACTGTGGATCACCGTTCTTGATGCCTGTAATCCAATCCAATCTATTCATTAGTTCATGCTTTATTAGGTCAAGAAATAGGCTTTATCCCCTTTTACGCTTCCTCAGCTCACTGAGTTGATTCTCCTCGTGGACCCCCACCCAGCATCTCCTTGTCTCATGGACATTACAGGCCCCTCTTGAGTCATTTTGCCTGCTTTAATCCAATATTTTGATTGCATCCACCACAAACCCTAACAAGCAGAGCTAACATGATGCTGCCATGGCTAGACCCCTCCATCTGTAAAAGCTCTGCTGGTTTTCATTACAAAATTCAGTTCAGAACAAAAAAGCAACAGGAAAAAGCAAGCCAATACCAAACAAAACCTGCTCAGGTTTGCACCCTCCCCTCTCCTAATCCGTGGAGCCCCTCATTCCTCCCTCAGCCACGTGAAAAGGTTAAAGTTCTCCTCATCAGATGCATGGCTTGGCTGGCTGAGACAGGATGACAGGACACAAGGTCACGGCCACGTACAGCAGATTTCTGAGTTTAGCAGAGATGATAACACACACACAGCCCATCAGCTTCCCCAAGGGGGTGATGYACTTGAAGAACCATTCACCAAGAGATCTGATCCCAGGTTTGATGCACAAAGCTTTCTTTATCTTGATTTCCTCTGAATTCCTGTGAACCTCCAGAGTTCAGTGGTGGTCTATCATATTTGGAGAAAGGTAGCACAGGTACCTCTGTCTCCACCACTAACATAATGGGAGAAGAAASCTACCAAAAATTCCCTGCAGGAGTGGTTTTATTTCCCCCAGAGCTTCTTCCTATCAGAGGAACCTCTCACAGGTTTAGCCTGGGGTTTTGGATACACCTTCCAAAAGTGGAGCTTTCAGGTGACAGGAAAATAAACTATCCCCTCCAACAAATGGATGAAATGTTATTGAATTCAATGCATTCTCTCCCTTCTTATACCACACAGAATTTGGCTTCATGACTTTTTAGAGGTGATTCTGATGCAAACTGGTGAGCAGTTTCTGTATTCACTTGCTATGGTTACAAGAACATGTCTAGTCAAAATGCCAGTTCGGCTGTTACCCCTCTTACTAATTTGCATTTGATTTATAATATACAATTAAACTTGGAATTTATTGTTGGGCAGGTAGAAAGTTTTCTTGCTTTGCAATTGGCCAAATACAGATTGATTTGAAATCAGTGGAATGTCTCTCACTTRCTTCCTGGAAATGAACTATCTCTTCAAATCAAATAATAATTTTGATTAATGAAAATACCCTGCTGAATTTAATGATCAGGGGCTGACAGTTGTCTAGAAAAGCATTTTTCCAAGTTTAGTTTTTGATTTTGTAAAGGTGRCCACAACAAATATTGGAGACAAGCTGCTAATGTGATCTCCTCCTCTGGGTAAAGTCCAACCTGTCAATTCATACAATTATTTGAAAAGTCAGTAAAAATGGCATTCATCAAACTTGGGAATATTTACTTGGCAGAGATGATTTAGGGATGTCTGTCGCCGTAGTATTTGTGAGAATCTTCTGGACACTGCAGGAAAGAAGTGATACATATTTACATATTGTGCTAAATTAAGATAATTATTTCAGAAAGTATGAAATTAAAACAAGACCAACAACCAAAAATTTGATCCAGYTTCCTATACAAAATTGTGGCTACATAAAATCCACTCAAATGGCCCAGTTTTAAATTAAATCAAACCTTGACCTAAACCCTTAAATCTGRACGCTCAATCAATTTTACAGAGGCATATTACAAGCAATTATTTATAGATGCTGTGATTAATGAGATGACAAGAGAAACACAGAGGACAATGGAAAAGCTCTGCTTGTTCAGCATAGCAAATTTTCTCTTGCTACACAAAGGAGCTGAAGAACAGACAGAACTATTTAATAGAAAGAAAAACGTTGGTGCAAGAATAAAAGGGCATAAAATAACGACWGCTACATTTTGTGTGGAAATGAGAAAAGGTTGCTAAATCTTCATGCAATCAGGTTTTGGAGGAGTCTAGCAGGGGGCTAGACTCTGATCCAGTTTCAGGTAGAATTTGATCAAAGTTTCTAAAAGCAATTGCATGACATGCTAATACTTTATGGGCTGGAATGGTCCTGGAGGTACCTGCCAGTCCTCTCTGCAAGTGATCTGGACYTTGCATTAAGATATTTGCTATTCTTGGAAAATGAGCTTTTAAAATGTTGTATTGTTCACTTTTTTGGTCTGAAATCAGTGACTTGGGAACTGGAAAAACGAGCAAAGCTTGCAGTTCCTCCTGTCAGAACCTCCCCTGGCTGTGTATGCTCTCACCAATTCTGATGGGGAGGAAAGGGCAGCAGAAGCAGCACTGGTGTAAAAGGAAGGGTGCATACACTATTTTCCCTAAATCAGGAGCACCAGATCTGCAGATCTGTCCAAAGAGATGTTAGGTGTGCTCACAGGCTGAGCTTTCCCCCCACGCTGTACACAGAGGCAATTAAAAAACACAGATTGAGAATGCCCAAAGAGTGCTCTGTCCATCTCTTTGTGTCTGCTTGTAAGATTAGGAAAGATTTTRCTGCTGGAAGTTTCTCGATATTTTAGAACTGACAAAGATGTGGTAAAGCATATTCTCAGTTCTGACTTTTTGTTTAATTTTTAAACTAAACTAGTAAACAATTCAAACCACCCTGAAATTAGTTGTTCCAACTTACATCCTGAGTGTTCCCAGTAACATACACACCTAATTTTCCATGCTGATCAAAATAGTTAATCCTTCTCCTAAATTAGTTTTTTTTTTTTTTTCCCCTTTAACTTTGTGGTGTGGAATTTAGTGCTCATGAAAGGCGAAGAATTGAGAGCTGTGAAATAAAGCAGGCTTTATCAATAGGTGATGTGCACTGCAGGCATCTACAAAGCATGTCTGAAAAGGACTAGTGCCCTTTCCTGTGGTGACAGGGTAATTTGATCTCCTTCATTTTTAACTCTGGCACTTTTTTGAGTAAGGGCCTCAAGCTGTATTCAAATTCTGTTAGCCTAAAGGTTTGTTTAATAATTTTCTTTGCCTAATATAGTCCTTAATATTTGCTTACTATCAACAAAATTAATTTCTTATCATACAACACAAGAAAGAAAAAGAAATTCTCACTTTGTGCAGTGCCTTGTTTCATTAAATGAGATTGGTTCTCATGATAAAGTGAATATTCTAAGTGAATGGAAGATTTATAATGATGAGAGGTTTTAATTCCTAAAAACACTTGCCTCACTTTCAATGAACAATTTCATTGAAAATGAAAATAAATTTAATAAAAATTTAATAAAAAATTAATAAAATACAGCATCTTGGTCTTCAGAAACTATTCCAACACTTGCCATTGAAATGAAAATTTTTGTAACCAATAATCATTGTCCATCCCAGTTTAACACAAAAGAGAGTGGGCAATACATACACTCAAATTTGATATTTCGTAGGTTTTCTGGCAAATCATGCAGAGCCACCTTCAGCCACTCATCCAGTTGCTTTGCAAACTTTCGGATCACCTGCGTCAAACTGCAAAATGCAATCACAACATCACAGCACATTTACTCTGTGCACTGYATATAAAATCTGTGAACGTGTGGAGACCAGGAGTCATTTATTTACAACTCATTGTTATGTTGCTAACATATGTTAAATATGTAAATATGTTGCTAACATATTTTGGTTTGTAGGCATGAAGAAAAACTTCTGAGACTTCTGACAGCTTTTGCAAAAAAACTCAAAACTTATCACCGTGTTCAAAACCTCACATTTCAGTGTGGCATCACTTTGACACTTATAAAAAGTATTTTTTATTTTCGATAAAACCATTCCCACGAKATATTCAATTTATATTTTGAATATAAATTCACAACTGTGTGAAGAAGATGGGAAAAGGTACAGGGAATTTTCTCTCTCTCAACCAAGAAGCTTTTCCTGTTTGCACTCCAAGCACTGTGCTCTGAGAACAGAGGTGGTAAAATAAACACAACCACAGGCCTGCTCTGCTCCACAAAAACACCTAAAGAGAGCAGGGGATGGATGGCAACTGCCAGGCTTGCTAAAAAGTGGCTTTTCTGGAGAGCCAGAATTTGTTCCCAGGAAGCATCTCAGAGGATTCTGGCTGAGTCAGCAAGATTTCCTTCAGGAGCTTCCATTGCAACGAGACCCTTCTTCACCCCCTCTAGTGCAGGCTATGGCTTAATAGCCACAATCTGGCCCTTTATATGCATTACAAAAGTCTATATTCACACTCAAGTCTCTCCTTATTTGCTATGAAAGAACTAAGCAGCTTGAGAAAAGGACTGCTGTTCTGTTTAATCCTTCCAATCAAATAGATTTGGGGAGGGTGAGGGGCAAAGCCTGTCAAAATCTACATGTCTTATCCAGAAAAGCAGATTTCTTGTGGAAAATACTCTCACTTTAGCAGTCATGGGATGCGTGGAAGAGAGAAGAACAACACCCTGAACACATTTTCCTTGATTGGAGACACTTAAAATCTTAAGGGCTAAATACACAGCACCAATAAAAAACCTCCCAGAGCAATATTCTTAATGAATTACTCAATGTCAAGAACACATCAGTCAAATAATATTACAGGTGTACAAGACTATTTAGAAAAAAATGGTTTCCTGTTGCTCATATTGGTAAAACCAAAGGGGAAAGCACGTTGAGCGCACTCAGTGATTACACTTTTAGCTATGGATTGTTGATCTGTGTCCTGCTTTACCTCTATAAACAAAACCCCCTGGACCCAGGTGAATGCCTGGTAGGAAGAAAACAGATGAAATCTATTATGCAGATTGGAAAAGTGAATTTAGTCTGACAAAAAAAGCAGTAAATACTTCTAAAATAAAGTGATCCTTAACCAGTTGTGCTTCTGTTCTTCACAGGATGGTGTTTAAATTAAACCATCTTGCTYGAGGTTTCACAAGCATGATCTTCATGGTTTTTATTCCTGGCAAGCAGGATGACAGCTGAGGGTGTACAGAGACAAGTGCCTGAATATTCATGTATTTACAGACAGAGCAATCTTGTAACAATGGCTCAGAATAGTTCTGTTGTTAGCCCAGACCAGTTGAAAAGACATTTTGATAAGTCAAAAAGACATTTTGATAAGTCAAAAAGGCATTTTGATAAGTCAAAAAGGCATTTTGATAAGTCAAAAAGGCATTTTGATAAGTCAAGAAGACATTTTGATAAGTCAGCGTGGTGCTCTGCAACCTGCAGGCTGCTGACATTCCCTGAAGGCTGGCACATAACCCAAACATCAGGAAACCAAGAAGAAGGTGATCTCCTTCATCACCTAAAACCCCCCAACTCTCCAAGCTTTTCATGRTMCAAGCCTTGCTAAAATCTGAACATMTTTCCAAGCTCTTCAACTCTTTTCAAATGATTCTGGGATTTAAAGTCAGGAAACAGGTGGCAGCAAGCAGCTCCCTGAGAACTGGTGTCATTCTTGAAGAAAATAAATAAAACAATGAATTTTGAATAAAGCTGAGCTGGAAAGGGTCACTTTACCTGTCAGGTAAGGCTTGTAGTACTGTGGGCATCAAAACTCCAGAGATTGCCTTGTAGAGAATGGAGTCACAAACTCCCACTATATTCACCACAGTGGAGGAGCCCAGCACGGGCAGCATGTGAGGAGGCATCCCTTGCCAAAAGTGCAGAAGAAAACTTTGAACCTGAAACGGCGAGAAGAAGCGGGGGATGTTAAAATTGGAATGATCAAAGGTCACAAAYGCCATTCCTTTGAATGCTCCTGCTCATTTTGCCACCTTCTCTCAGTGGCTAGTGAGTGTGGCTCTTGGGCTTCCATGTGCCAAACATTTTCCTCTCTCTTTGCACTCTGTCCCTGTGCCCAAAGGGAGGAAGGGACAGGAGGAAAGCACATGGCTTCATTTTGGGATTTTTTTCTTTCCTCCACTACAAAGGAAAGTGGAGAAAAAGTCGAGAAAATAAGGTGGAGATTTCAGACACAGCAATATATATCTCTGAAACCTTTAATTTGGGAAATGAAGGTGTTTTTCAGGGAATGATATGACCCCACAAGGGTCTGAACACCAGAATTCATGAAGGATAACTTTCTGCACGCAATCCATAGTGAAGTAACAACCACACCAAGTGTAGCAAAGAATATTTGCTGTTTATATGTTAAYGCTGCTCAGCCCCTTCCCTATCATAGACCTTGATAAATTTAATAAAATACAGCATCTTGGTCTTCAGAAACTATTCCAACAGTTGCCCAGCTAAATTTCCTGAAAGTGTCACATATTTTTTCTCACATGGAAATTTCAAGACTAAGTACGATGGTGCCAAACCAGCTTTAAACCAGAAGAGTGTGAGAATTAAACAGTAAGAAGAAGAAAAGCAGGGAATTTCTTCCCATTGTTCAGAAGACWGAGTCAAAAGACCCATTTCCTCTGTTTTTGGTTCTTTGGTTGTTTTTTTTTTTTTTTTCCCAGGACCTGAATGTCATATTTGAGCCACATCCTCAGTATTGCTATAGCCAGATTTGCTGCTTGCATTCCAGGAACATTTAATTTTTAAGCTCTAATTGTAAAGTTTTTTTAAGAACTGCATCCTCCAGCACCTTGTAAGGGGATTTTGCTGCCTTAACCCTGCTGGAGAGCAGAGGACAGGGACATTCTCACTGTTTTTGTCCCTCTGATCCACACAGGGTTACAGGTGAGGTTTAGTGCTATCAGTCACACATTATAAACTAAAGCACAGCTCTTGTTCCTGGCTTCTGAAAAGGAGTCTGTGATGTAACATAAAAATAATGCCTGCAATCCCTCAATATTTTATGTATCATTAAACTACAGCTGCAGCTTCTAACCATACCTCATCAAAGTTTGCTCTTATTACAGTGTCAAGTATCCTCTGACAGTGAGTCCTGTACATCATAATGAAGGTAGAAACCTGAAAAAAGAACAAGGGAGGCACACAAAAGATCATTCTGCTCTAAGAAATCCACTTTTAAAATATCAGAATACACAGCACCAAAAAAGCAAGATTTTTCTTACCTATGCTCAACTGCAAAAATAATGAAATCAGTTAAAGTCTACTTAGAGTAGCTGTMAGATGAGTTTTCTTCTCAAAAGTAAATTCTCCCTTTGAATTCATGGATTTTTCTGTCAATGGGGATTCTTCAAATGTAAGAGGAGCAAAAATTCTCAGCGAGATCAAAGAGGAGAATGTGGCCCTAATTAGGACATAAAGAACTAAAAACCCCAATTCTTTTGTCCACTTTACATTGATACTACACATGTGAAAAGAACCAGAAACCAAGAGAAGCCAGAGCATTTTTGCCATTTGTACACACAAAATTCTCTGAATTTCTGCTCTAGAAAGATAAGAAATGTATTAAGTCACTCTCTGCTCAAGAAAGCATTAGAACTGTTTTTGGGTTTGCCATCAACTGTGCTCACATTTTAAAAGTTGCCCCCAAACCCCACATAATTTTTAAAGTTGCCCTGCTGTACGTAATGTAACTTTTAAAAAAATGTGCATTGGTGTTAGAAATATTGTACAGCTGATAGTGTCAGCTGCCTGTTTTAAGGGAAGATATTTCTTCCTGTTAGATGAAGTAATTCAGTCCCCCATAAATCAAGTCAAAGCATTATTAAACTTACTCTCRTTTAAAGTCTTTATATATCAGACAAAGCATTCATCCAGAGCAGGGAGGAAAAAAAAAAACCAACAAAAACCAAGACAAGCTGAGAAAAGATTTCCAAAGTGTTACCTTCTCCTCTGGCAGACTGGCTGGCAGATTTAGATCTTTGACATTTGGAAACTCTGGCAGCAAYGTTCCCAGTTTGGATCGTGGTGAATACGCCACTGTCTGTTTGGTTACTTCTTTTTTTCCTGTTTCGTTGACCCAGGCTGCTCCTTTTTTAGAATACATCACATCATAATACTGGGAGTTTTCTTTCACTGCAATCCCATAATAATGGTACCTGATACACAGAGATGTGCATTTTATAAAGCAGATTGTTTGAACATTAAAGGGAAATCTATGGAAATGACAATGCAAATGATTTCTACRGCAAAATAGACTGAGCAATAGTTTATATATTATTTACAAGCATTGATTCAGTAGCAGAATACTATGGCAATATATTGAGCTTACAATTTTCATTCCTTGGGGTGAAAGTAAGGTGACYCTGTTGTAGGGCAGGAAAATAATATACTTCCATTTTTTAACTTCTTGGTTAAAAAATGGGGAAAAAAAGCATCCAAAAGCTACTTGTTGGCAAAGYTCTGCTGTGCATCTGCTCCTTTAGCAACAGGCAGAGGTACAGACCCTCTGCACTGGCCCTTCTGCTGTAATCTGAATTCCCTGATTCTCAGGCTGAGTAGGGCTGATTTGCTCCCTAAAAATATCAATATTGCACAGGATTCCATCAGAAATGTTTCAAAAATTGAAAGTGGAGCTCCCTGAATCTCAAGCTGTGTAGGGATGGTTTGCTCCCTGAAAGCATCAATCAATATTGCACAGGAGTCCATCAGAAATGTTTCAAAAATTGAAGGTGGAGCTTCCTGATCCTCAGGCTGTGTAAGGCTGGTTTGCTCCCTAAAAATATCAATATTGCACAGGATTCCATCAGAAATGTTTCAAAAATTGAAAGCACTTCAACGAAAAGAGAGAGGGAGAAAGTTCTGGAAAGCAATGAATGGTAGGAGATGTAGGATTTCAATGATTTGCCTCATACCCCAGCATCAGCAATGGGTTTTGATCAGTGAGAGATAGAACACAGCAATAACTGTGTCTGTGCAGACCCCCCTGGGAATTACAGGAATTAGAAAACTGGAATGATGACACTGGTAGCATGGGAATGTAGGAATGCTATAGGAATGCTGTAGGAAAGGAGCAGTGGCCTCATGGCACCAGTTTGTGCCACCACTCAGCTTCACTGCAATGCTGAGGGAAGCACTGATAATCAAACAAAGCTCTTGCATCAAAGCAGCCAAGGTTTTCTTGGTCTTGTTGTGATTTCTGAACCTGTATTTCAGCTTTTCAGCTGTAGGCACCCAACCCATCAGCTAAATTTGTAAGGATTACAAGAGGCATCAGGGGATTGTGTTGCTGGCACACTTTTCCTTCAGTCAAATCCTACACAGAAGTTTCAGTGATCCTCCACCTTCTCTCCTTAGAGCCTGTCAGGTCATGATAAAGCCTTATGGATCCTTTGTTGTGGCACAAGAAGTTTCCATCTCTGGATGCTTCTTTCCCTCCTCACTCAGTTACTATTTCAGTAATTCTGAAAAATTCAGATTCTGCCACCAGATCTGTTCACCTGAGTAGACACGAATTTGCTTTAGGTGAAATCTGGTTCTATGAAGGTCATCAATGAAATTAATTAAAGAGCAGCATCCAAGTGATGGTAGTTTAAGCCAACTGGTGACTTTTCCTTTTTCCACTCACAGATCAGTGCATGTCATAATCCTCAGTGGGAAATCGTGGCAAAGATCTGGAAGCCAAACTTTTCTATCAGCACAGATGGGCTGAAAGAAATTAATGATGCCCTGGCCACACCCAGTGAGGAATTTCCCTATTTTCCTTTAAAAAAAATAAAAAAAAAATAAAAATAATAAAAAAAAGCTATATTGAACTCAGCATTGAACAATCCAAGTAAAATATCTTAAAGCATTATACTGACATGGTGATTTTATAAGACACACTATTTCCTAGATTCAACACCTGAGAAAGAAACAYTATTGGCTCCAAATTTCTATATGAGAAACCAGGCTCCAGACTGCTCCTAACCTGCCACAGGTAAATAATGGCAGATTTGTGCTGGGGTTACCACACCCAGGGAAGGGTGGGAAGGAGGAGAAAGAAATGGCAAGCAGGACTGAAAGCCTTGTAAAACTTTATCAAGTTTTGGCTTAAATCAGTGAAGGAAGAAAAAGACAAGCCTGGAAAGKGTAGTAGAATTTCACTGTGTGCTATTAAATTCCTGGTAGTAAACTGTGTAAGAGTTTCCCATGTAGCTTCAAAATCATGCAGACAGCTGTAACCAGATTAACYCCAAAATCTTTCTAGATAGATTTTTCCTTCAGTAATTTTACCATCCCAAATGGCAAAACCCCACTGTAGTAGTTTACATGGATTCTTTTCCAATCACTTTTTTGTATTTTTATCAGAAAATAATAAAAAAAAAAACCCAAATCCCCACTGAATTCAACAAACATATTATTGACCTATTGTTTTTTCTCAGAATTGCCACCTTAGAGATTTCTGGTGGCTTTGATGAGGGATGTTATGGCAACTCTGAATTTGCAATTGGGAATGGATTTCAGATCTGCAATTAGCTGCTTAAATATGTCTGGTCAAGGAAAAAAAAAAAAGCTTTGTTACAAAAACTAAGAAGGTATCAAGCTGAGGGAAAGAAMATTGTGCCCCACCAAAGAAACACTGCTTGGCATGGGCCACTTATTAGAAAAGCACAGTAAATCTATCTTTAATGGAATTTCTTTTAGAATCTTAGTTTCTTTTTTTCTTTAAAGAGCATTTATTCTAGCTTTAGTATGTAAGCTCAATCCTAATAGCATGCTTTCATTCTCAGCATTTAGCAATATTGTTTTTTTTTTATTTTGAAGGCTTTATTTTGAAAGACAAGCTTTACAAAGAAAATTTTGCAAAAATGCCATCTCACAGTTTCGTTGCCCCTTCCACAGTTTTTCACTTGTGATCTATGGACACTACACTCTTGTTACTCTGTAAGATTCTGAGAAAGTGAACCAAGAAAAGCAGATTTTATTATGTGAGGGGCCTTACACWTGCCAGAAAAAGATTCGAAGCTCCACTGGAAAAATTTCATTGAGTTCACAAGCAGAAAAAAAGTATAAAAAATCACTCTTCATAAATTGGTAGAATCACATCTCATCAACAATTGGAAAAAGCCAAATATCCCAGGAATGCATTCTTAATTCTGAATCAGTTTCTCGTTCTAATTAGGATAATCTGTTTTCAGGAAACACCATCTTTTGGGTAAGGCAATAATCTAATTCTTTAATCACCTAAAGGTATGTTGGATTTCAGCACATGGGAAAATGGTGGTAAAATACAGGTTTGTGAACAATTTCAGTTTGGGTCAATGTGTGTTCCTACCTCACTCATAAGAATATTTTGACATTTGTCCTCTAGCCTGAAAGCTGATGCCAGCCAGTGGCCAGCTGCCAGCCTCCAACAGCAGCTCCATTACTCCTGAGTGGCAATGTCCTTTATGTTGTGTAAAGTGAGTTGAGATGGAAAAAAAAATGAGAAAAATATGGAAAATATTGCTGATCAAATCAGCAAAACGCCTCCATCAGACCACCTTTGCAGGATCATGACTGAATTGATAAGATCATGTAAAGATGGCAGCAGAACTTCTATTGAAGTTGGTTTTAAGGCCCCAAGTGGACAAATTATTCCCTATTCTCATACAATTCCATTCAGAAAATCAGAGCCAGAAGGGCCCTGTGAGAGATGATAATAATACAATAATACAATATTCTGCTTACTTTGATTGGCCTCTGGTTCCAAGCCTTCTTGTCGTTAGTTGTGGGAACTGTTGTCTTATTATCTGCAAACAAACAGAACAGATATTAAAACAAATGGAAAAGCACATTTACTAATACTTAATTTAATATGGACTTTGAAGACACAAAAGCAGAAAAAGTGTACTGTGATGTCAATGAAATATGTAGTAGGAGAAATCAGGAAAAAAGCTCTTGATTTTTTTTCATTACTGAGAGAGGGGAAAGAGACTTCAAACTTCATTATAATTCTATTCACTACCATTAATTTAAATACTTTCAGAAGTTACTGGAGTAGAACATATTTCCTTCAAAMTCTAAGTTCAAGTCTGCCTCTAAACTAAGGAGGACTGTAATGAGAATTAAACTACTATTTATTTATGTCACTTTGTGGGATCAGAAAAGTTCTCTGTAGACCTCCACAATCCTGCCACTAAGCACTTCTTTTTCTGAATGATGTTTCTCTAAAAARGTTTTGGTATTTGACAGTGGCATCATTTCTACCAAAGAAAACTCATCATAGTATTTGTARAGATACCTCATGATCAATTTATCCTCTGTGGAAAACAAGTGGATCTCAGAAACAGCAGGATTTCCTCAAAATCCAAACGCGACTGTGTCAGCAGACATTAAAAGGACATTGCTACTGTAACCCAAAACTTCTGCAGTGCCAGCTGCATTTAAGGAAAATAATCAATAAATGTACATTGTGCCTTCGGTAATCAAAGTAAATCAAAGCAATGAAAAAGTTTTTCTGTATTGCTGGAAAGGAGATGCTCAGCACYTCCCAGGATTGAACCAGATTCTCAGTGGGGTCTGCAGCAGGTGAAAAATATTTCTTCAAAAACAGTCRTGGAATAAGAACTGCAGCAAACCTTGAAGATTCAACTTGCAAAGGAGTTTCTTCCTTTTAAAATCTGTAATTCATTTTAACTGTGTTTTAATGATATAAATTGCTGAATGCTTCCTCTTTGGGGGTAACACCAATTAACATTAAAGGAAAACAAGTCTACAAGATGGCATATAACTATTCAACTAGGAAAAGAGTMAATTCAAATTGATTAAATAATATAGATTTTTTTTTCTCCATTAGCCATTTTGCCACCGTGATTAATATTTAATCCTGATTGATGACTGAAAGCTTTRGAAGACGTACTTAGATCAAAAGGTGCTATATAAATAAAGACATTACAATGTCACATATTTGACCATTTCTCCAGTACTTTTTTTTTGAGTTTTAGCAGAGGCACAACCATCTTCCCTTTGTATCATGTAAAAAYGGACCTGTGTTGGTTTCCAGGAGCTTTGCACGAGGTGGCTGATGTCAAAAATGCAGCAAAGACTCCGAGTCGCTAGGTTGTTCAGCTTTAATTTCTGGAGCAAAACCTCAGCAAACAGTAAAACACTTTTGTGGAGCTGTGAAAGTTCAGCCTAGCTGTTTGATAAATGAGCAGACAGGCAAGCAGCCCTTCTTTCTTTTTTTTTTGTATGGATTCAATGAAGCCTGCCTAAAGAACACCACATGCTGTTCCAGCTACTGATCTAACATTCCGCAACATCTCAGCCTTCCAAATTCCCTTTAATTACACATTAATCCCACCCCTCTCTCTTTCATTTTCTGCAGACAGGGCTGGGGGCTCCACAAGGCTGTGGGAAAAAAGGCACTGTTGAAGAACTACTTTCTGAGGATGGTTTTTACAGGCTATGGAATTTTTGTTGTGTTGTTGGTTTTGGTTGGGTTTTTTTTTGGGTTTTTTTTTTTTCAATTGTCATTCAGAAAATACCATCCCTCTCCAAAAGCTGTTTTTACAACAGCTGACTTAATATCAGAGGTAGTTTTAATCAATTTTTTTCTTTTGGAACAGCATCAAACCATATTACTTTCAAGTCTTTCTAGCAGCAGTGAAGTGCTACAATGCAGGCTGTAAATACAACTTTATGAACTATATGCCATGGGAGTTCCTGGGATTTAAATAAATCAGCCAATCTCTGATCTATTTTAAATAAATCAGCCAATCACCAGGGTAGAGGTGATCAGGAAAACAGAATAATGAAGCAGTTGATCAGATGATCCCTTTTCCCTTTCTTTGTTGCTTTTTCAAACTCAGCACACTTTAAACCAGATACATCTTTCAGAATCTTAAAAGTATGCATCAGTTAAAATACTTATTTTCAGTAATTTACAAAACAAAACAAACAAAAAAAAAAGAATAATCAAGCAAACCTTGGGAAAAAAGTCAGAATTTTTTTATCTAATGCTGCATATGAAAAATGAGATATGGGATACACCCAGGTGCCTGTACACATATTTGTAGTTATTAATGTTTGTGTTTGGAATAAAACAAACCAAGTACTAAAAGAACTCTCTGTTTACATAAATGTTTATATTCAGCTATGTTTATGCAAACCTCTATGCAGTGATACTGTAAAGGCAGGAAGATATCCCTAAAAGGGAGAGGAATTCAGATCAGGCAGGACAAAATTAAATTCATGGTGTGCTGAAATCAGTGGGAAAAGCAGAGGGCCCAATATGTTGTTTTTAAAAAAAATTAATCATTATCAACCTGAAAAGTCACTGTGTAACATATGGCATAATTGGTTTAATGTTTATTAATTTTTAAAGACCTGCAGCCAAAATGTGTTAATTTTACAGTTGTGCGGGGAGAGAAGTGGGAGCTAATTGTCAGACATGAAAATCCAGGTTTGGGTCTGAAAACCAGGTTGGATCATTTTCCTCTCTTTGCTGCAGTGAGGCTGCACAAACAAATGAATCCAGAGCAGAGTTTGCAGTCTGAGCTGCTTTCTGAATAGAGCCCAGCCCTGTTCTCACAGCAGCTCTGGCTTCTCAACACAAACTGTGCTAAAAAGTTCTCATGGGTGGCATCCAAGGGAATTTTGGAGTGAAGGGATCTTTTATCGTTGTCCTCCTGTGGAGYTGAAATTTCATCTCACACTTCTCCAAAGTGACCATAATTCAGCTTCCATRTAGGATCTGCTGAGTGAGGTTTTACACAGGCACAGGTTTTACATTTTCCAAGTAAAATTTCTCCTCAGTCACACAGCAGTTTTGACTGTTGGGCCTTATTTTAGGCTACCTGGCTTTTTGGCTTTGAAACAGATGTAGATCAGGAATTTCACATGGAAACTTCTTCTGTCCCTATTATGTGACCTCAGGAAAAAATGTTCCTGCAATTTCTTCCTCATTTACTGAACTGTTCTCCCTCTCTTTCCTCTGTACTCTGATTAGGATATGATCCTGCCTTCTGCCCACAGAAGTCCTTCCATGTTTTTCTTTATTAAAACAGTGATATTAAGAACTGCTTTATCTTTTTGCTGCTCCACAGTTCTTCTGGTGAATGCCTACAYAAGATCCAGACAGAAGTCATTACATTAGGAAACAACACATATATCTAGTTTATACTTTTTCAGGGGACGAGAAAGGTCAGCATTTATTTCACATTTCTGCAGATAATCCTGAAAAACGGTTTTCAGAATGTCTGTGCAGTTAGAACATATGGAGAGATAACAGCATTTTTATCCCATTYCAGCTTTTAAACCTAGCAGTGGTGTCTGAATAAAMTTGAATTAAATATCTAGTTACTTGTAATTTTTAATCATTCCAAACACTCTGCCATGGGCATGGACATTCTGCTTTCATCACTGCACTGTGACCCATCACTCTTCACAGCATTCACTATCAAACTGGGAACTCTGTTTCCCAGTTATTCCATCTAAAATAATTTGTGATTTGTCAAAACAAATCAGGGAAAAGAAATCTTATAAAATATCTTATGTATCTGTSTTCATGCAAAACAGCAAGGATGGAAGAAACCAGAGATGTCTGGAAACTCCTGAAGTAATTTTTTTCCTCCCTCCTTGGTCAAAATATCCAATTTTWCTCTGGGGCAATAAGCAGAGGACATCTTTTAGAAGTCTTTTCAAAAGGCATGATCATTTTGTCATTGCACTTGATCTAGAGGGATGTTATTCTTCATTACTCTTGTTGCTTTTCATTTGACATGATTCTAGCCTTCCTTCTGGAACTTCACAGAGTCATGAAATAAGATCAAATCAAGTCACAGCCCAGCAATTGCACATTTCCAGAATGAGAAATGGATTCCAGGCTCTGCACTCCCCAGCTCTATGAGACTCTAGAGAAATTCTACTGACAGTGGAATAAATTCTCTCCCATAACAATTCTTCATGGCAGGGCCTGGTTCTGTTTATCTCAATTCAGGTTTAAGTCTCATATCTAGACAGCGTGCTTTTCTTTTATGAAGTCAGGTATAGAAGAGCTGTGTTTATTTACCAAAAGGTCTTGTAAGTGTCAGGTTTTTTGGCTCATTCCAGAGTTTCCCCATCTGCTCCTGTGCTCTGAGACAATTTGTTGTTGTCAGCACCGGTGTGAGGAGGAACTTTTTGGCCCAAAGATGTCTTGGGGATGATTCAACATCCTATTCTCTTGAGGAAATAGCCAAGAAAACTTGCACCAGGAAACATCTACTGATAGGAAATAGCATAATCAAAGAGTCCAAAACACATTCCTGTCTCTCAACTCCACCAAGCTGTGAACAAAAGGAGAGGAGGCGTGACTGTGCATCTACACCTTCTCTACTCCTTGTTTGCTCAAAGGCTGTGATCTATAGGCTCAGCACTCTTGACYCCAGCTCTGCTGTCTGTTTAGACTCAATAACCCTCTCATTTCTCTCCACTTCCTTTCATAAGTTTTGGAATAGGGCAGATCCAGCGGTAGGATAAGAGCTTGTTTCTAGGACTGACACATCTCCACTGWTCCTGCAAAGCAAGGCACAAAATCCTTTCCCTAATGCCTGTGCCTGATTCTGCCTGCTGTGGAGATGAGGTTCTGTGAGGAACTGGACCCCTCAAATTCATCTGTGTGAAACAACATCCTCCTTCACCAGTTCCTTTGTCCAAATCCTCCTTTTCTAATCTTGGGACTCAAAACAAGGTGTCTCTTCCAGTCTTTAACATTCCCATGTATCTCCTTCTGTCCAAACCTGTCCCGTGTGCTGCTTTAAGGGCACAGACTTTCTGGGAAATTCTTGTTCTCCCAAGAAGTTCAGGCTGAACTGAACACGCATTGCTCAGGGTCCTTCAGGACCCCAAAGCATCAATCGAAGCTGATCAACCAATTCATCTGTGTAAAACAACATCCTCCTTCAGCACTTCCTGTGGCCACATGGAATTCAGCCCAAGGCACGATCAAACATATTTCTGCACCCCAACAAAGCTGCAAACACCAAAGCTCTGCCTCACATCCTGTGCTGCAGCCRCTTTTGGAGCTGCCTTGCTGAGGCTGAGCAGATCTGAAACCCTACACAGACCCCCTGCTCTGGGGGTTGCTCATAAAGCTTTCTCTGTTTTACACGGATGCTCAAGTAGCCCATTTAATTTTTATTGCCCTATTCTAAGAATGACAAAAATTACAAGTAACTAGATATTTAATTCAAGTTTATTCAGATACCACTGCTAGGTTTAAAAGCTGAAATGGGATAAAAATGTTGTCATCTCTCCATACGTTCTAACTGCACAGACATTCTGAAAACCGTTTTTCAGGATTTATCTGCAGAAATGTTAAATAAATGCTGTCCTTTCTAGTCCCCTGAAAAAGTGTAAACTAGATAGATATGTTGTTTCCTAAATCGTTTGATGCAATAAGAGAAACCACATCCTCAGATTTACATTGATTTTTGCCCAGTCCTATTTTTGTATTCCATGTTGTAGAAATTGTTCATAATAAAGCAAGTTCTGTTTTAATCTATCAGAAGAGAGCACTAAAAGTAAGTTTGGTTTTGCTATACCARTTACTGTTGAGACTATGTAGGGGCTAATTGAGAGTAAAGAAATAAACCCCAACATCTTCAGGAGAAATATCTCCTTAYGAACAGCAGGTAATTTCCTGATATGTGCAATTCAACACTGACAAATCAGAATGCAACCACATCACAATGTCATTATCAAAGAGATTTCAATAAAGGTCTTGCCTGTCCTTTTCAGATGTTAAAATCATATAGGATGACAGCAAGAAATGGTAAATCTTATTTATCYTGGTCATGCTTGGAGGAACAGTCCTGCCAACAAAACTTCTGGGCACAGAGACAATGCAGCATGATGGAAAAGGAATCTGGCTGGTACAGCTTGTGCCTCCCTGGAGCAAAGTAAACGATTGGGGAAAAATAGGTTCTTCCCTAACCAATATTAGCAGTCTTTGCTTTGAAAGACTGAAATGCATTTCTGAGAATGCGATTTTCACTTACAGCAAAGCCAGTCAGGGAGCAACAAAATTTGTGTGAGCATCCATCCATGTTAAACCTCAGGAAAACATTCCTGCTTTTTACTGCATTCAGGATTATCTGCAGAAATGTTAAATAAATGCTGACCTTTCTMGTCCCCTGAAAAAGTRTAMACTAGATATATGTGTTGTTTCCTAATGTAATGACYTCTRTCTGGATCTTATGTAGGCAYTCACCAGRAGAACTGTGGAGCAGCAAAAAGATAAAGCAGTTCTTAATATCACTGTTTTAATAMAGAAAAACATGGAAGGACTTCTGTGGGCAGAAGGCAGGATCATATCCTAATCAGAGTACAGAGGAAAGAGAGGGAGAACAGTTCAGTAAATGAGGAAGAAATTGCAGGAACATTTTTTCCTGAGGTCACATAATAGGGACAGAAGAAGTTTCCATGTGAAATTCCTGATCTACATCTGTTTCAAAGCCAAAAATCCAGGTAGCCTAAAATAAGGCCCAACAGTCAAAACTGCTGTGTGACTGAGGAGAAATTTTACACATCACTCAGAAAAAGCCCAGAACAGACACACATCTGCACTGCCTCGCTGTACCTCCTGCCCTCTCACTGCTTCCATGCAATTCTTTTACTTATTCCACGTCACTTTTGCATGAAATAAAAATGTGATAATGCTTTGCTGTCTACAGTGAGAGCAGAAGTTTAACTCTGGGCTCTGCACTTGATGCTGAGCTGTAACCAGCAAATTACAGGGCCCTCCCTAGTTATTGTTTAGCTAAGGTGTATAAAAGAATGCTTGGTCCTGTCTTTTTCAGGCAATAAAAAGAACTACAATGACAGACCAGGTAGCACAGCAGAYTGGCAAATGCTGGTATAGACAAAACTGCCTGGAATTTTTGATGTTMAATGAGTGAGTAAAACTCCAAAATCTTGACTAACAAAGTCACAGCTCCCTTTGTCATATGAGAATACATCCCATTAATAATCACATTGGAGTATTCCTAGTTTTATATATGCTCTATTGCGACTGAGAGGAAAACACTGGGACCATGGCACGTGAAAAATTCAATGGAACACCATGATTTTTGGGTGGAAGTCAGAGTACCTGTCCTGCTGGGTCAAGAGATCTTCTGCCAATGAACAGGTGTATGTATGACAGGCAGGAGAGAAGGGGGATGAATTATTAAACAGTGTAACAAAACTGTCACATTCTGAAAAAYGGTGAAATCCCTGGTAAATTTGTGTTCTGATGAAATAATTCTGGAATATTTACACCYTACAATTTACAGAAGTTTTTAGCAGCAGCAGAAGTAGCATTGTGAAAATTTGAGCCATGTCCCAAATGTGCGAGCCTGCATGAAATCTGTTTCTTATTTTCACTGTTTCTAAATTACACGTTGCCACTCCACTTACCACTTGGTAGCAATAAGATGTGCAAGGAACAGCCCATTTCACAATTCTGCAGTGCATTCAAACAGAAACCTGACACAGAACCTACTAAACTGTGCAGCTCTTCCAGACACAACAAATACAGTGATATCACAACACGGTGAACTTCCCTTCCCTTGCCAGACTGCCAGCCTAAAGATGCACTGTGGAAAATGTCACCCCATTAAATACATCCCTCTTTGCACCAAAACATTTTTCCTTCTTTGAATACCCAGCACTTTTATAGAGCAAATGTTGCAAACACTAAAAGAGAACAGCTTGCAGGACAGTCMTGCTTGCAAGCATTTCTGAAACAGTGGCAAACTCTATGCTTTGCTTTTCTCACAAGTTTTAAAGGCCTGTGACACATTCTGTGGGTGAATTTCATTTTTAAACATAATCCTGTTTTTCACGGAGAGGAAAATACCACCTGAYCAACAAACCCAAAATACAGACTTTTGTGTAACAATCTTATATTATTAACATCTGCTGTTAYTGCAGAGGATGAGAGCTTTACTGCTTACACCTGGATGGTGCCCAGCTGGGTCTGTGCTAGGAGCACAATTCCACTGTGAATTTAGAGTCAAGCACAGTGGTTCTACCAGAGCAGGATTGGAAAGGGAAGCACAAGGGGTCACAGTGCAAAGAAGCCTTGGTAGCCCAAGCCTGCAGTGCAAATGAATGCAGTCAGATGCTTTCTGCACCTTCACATCTGGAGGCATTGTGAGTCCAGATGTGCACAACCCCATGTGAATCTGCCACAACGTTTGATATCCCTAACTCACAGATCTCCATATCATGCATACAAGAACAGCACCAACATTCTCCACAATTCCATTTTACCCTTTTGTTTTTAAAAATTATCCATTCGTTTCAGCAGTGCAGGTCACAATGCAATGTGTTTACACTGGCTTGTATTCAACTTCCAATTCAATTTGAACTGCCAGTGCTGTGCACCATGTCTCCCTGGGCTGGAGACTGAAATACTYTGGGGTCTAGCAATGGATAGAAATTATTCCAACCACCAAAATCCTTAAAATCTTAGCCTTTGTCCAATAACTTGAACACACAAGAGATTTCACTCCTATACATCTGTCACTAATGGCAAAAGAAGATTCAATTCTTTTCAATAATACAAATTCACCTGAAGCAGGTGGGACTTTARGGTGTCATACTGCAGGTTAGACTCACCTTCCCAAAGCTGGCAGCATTAACAGGCTGTGTGTCATTTTTCTCACAGAAGTCCAAGTAATGCATGTAGAGAGCGCTCCGAGGRATGCAAACACCTTCTGCAATCTCATAGTTCTCCTCCAGCCTTAAAAAGCAAATATCAAACAGAGAGAACTGCAAGTATGTTGGATGTCCTGTATGGTAAACAGCATGCAAAGCTTCATCTTTTAAGACAAAACATTGTGTCTTCCTCTTGTCTACTAAATCTTYTCTGCTGACTAAYAAATTTCTCTTTATTCCTAAGTKYTCCTTCCAGTTCATTCCCATAATGCTTACTTGTTTCATTTGGTTCATACTTGCTGTCAAAAACCATAGGCTGTGGGTTCTCAGCAATCTGTTACACCCTAAAAGCATCCTGCAGTACATAAAAAGAGAATGTATAGCTGTGAAACCATAAATGTTCACTGAGGGGAAGCATTCTCTCCTTCTTTACAAGAAAACATCACCTTTGGTTCATGGCACTCTTCTCACTCCTGTCCACCTGCAAAAATGCTTGCTCTGAGGAAGYGAGTGTGGCTAAAGCAAATAATTTACAAATATTCAAGAGTGTCCACAAAATCTTACTGTGTGATATTTTCTTGYCATTGTTTACRGGYAAAGTGGGRAAAAAAAAAAGGAAATCACAATCTGAATACAGTGCTTAAAAAAAACCCCAGTGAAATAACATCCTCTTCTACCCATTAGAAACTATCATTATTTGCTTGTACATACAACTATAAAATTTTTTAATATATGAGTAGGCATCTGCTTCATCTTTCAAGCTTGAAACTGGTCTCATTATAAAACTATAGATTAGAAGAAACATTCCTCTGAGATGCCATTTTTATGATTACTGACACAAAAATGTTCAAGAASTATTTACGTGCACACTTAACATTACACCATCATTAATCTTGCCATTGATAGTGTCAGTCATACACATCTGCAATTAGATGTGTGCTGGATAAGAAGTCAGGTGTGACCTCCTCTTAAATTGATTAAAAAATGAATATATTTATTCTCAAAAACCTCTCATTTTTCAGTAAACAACCCCCTGCCATTTGACAGCTGTAGAACACCTTCCAAATACCTAGTTTCTCTCCTTCATTGCCTTTTTCAGGACCTACCTTCCATTTCAGTTATCATGACCATTTGTGAGTGCAAACTATTTTAATAAGACATCCGGCTGGATGAATGGAACCCGTTTGTATGGGCAACATCTATTCTTCCCTGGTTTCTACAGAAATATCATCGTGGCATCTTTCCTCAATTTCATAGTGCTCCAACAAAACCTCCTTTCAAAACCTGGAGGGTTCGTTTGTATACCATAGCTGCTAATTGGAATGTCAGCTTCCGTGACCAAGACAGGACAGAAAGAAAAGCAGTTAATTATTTCTCCTCATATCTGATGAATTTTTCTCTTTTTCTCCTCTCTTTCACAGAGAGTCATTAGTCTACACTGAACAATGCCCCATTATACCTGAACTTTTTTTTTTAATGATCAAAAACCCATCTTGCCCCACTTCTTTTATTTTCCTGTCTTTTATTTAACAACTTTATCATATTTTGAATCCAGCTTCATTCTGCAGTATTGTAGACAGATAATGAACGCAATCTTCTACCTAACAAATCATTATCAGTTATAAKGTATAGACATATATATTAACATTTTAAATGTTGTAATAAAGCCATGTGAAATCCAGGAGCTCACAATGAGACCTTTTGTGCCACTACAGCACAGGAATAAATCCCCTAATCCTTCCACAGGAATGACAATTTTATCTGTCCCTATTACTGCTTCCCTCCTTATAACCTCACATAGTTCTAGATTAAATGAGATTATTCTGTATCAGAGTCAGGTCTGGAGTGTTGTTACAGATTTATTTTTATATCTCAAGGCCACAGAACAACTGTGATGTTAAACACTGCTAATCACATMAAAGATTCTAGAACAAATTAATTTTGATGTAGTATAACAATGGCTCAGAAAGTACTGATCTGGGAAGAATCCATTACCTAGCCATGCCTTACCTTACTCTTTTTTAATCCTTTTAATAAATGTAGCAGAAAATAGAACACTTTTGCTARCTTTAGCTCTGCAATGCTGTTATTATTCAGAGTACCCACACTGCAAATCACCAAACTGCATGGGACTAAGCTGTCTGTACTTTGAATAATTCYGTGTTTGGGGAACCCACCCCAACCCAGAACAATAAAATTAAGTTTCACGCTTGCACCTTGGTCAACCAGTTCACCTCTAAAATAAACATGAACATTTCAGAGCCAGACTGTAGCTTTACAGATGATAATGAGCACAGGAACATGGGATAAGCACASAATCCTAGGTATTGCTATATTCATGCCTTAACAGTGGAATCCAAGCTCGTGTAATTTCCCAAATTCTGATGTATTTGGCAGTTTCCTCAATTCTGATGTATTTGGCACTAATGCTACATTTACCAGGCCTTTCACTTCATTTTGTGTCATCAATGAAACAAAACAAAAGCATCATTCCTGTTTCCAGGAAAAGGATATTTAGGCAGGCTGACAGTCATCCAGACACGATTCTTGGCTTCTTCAGCTCTTCTTCATCCTCCACATTTAAAATGTTCAACATATTTCGCCTTTGGAGAGGCACAAACATTAAGGATAGCTCCCCAYGGAATTGATATAATTTGCCCTTTTCAGCAAGATGCCAGACAAGGAATAACTAACAGASTTGATGGCAATATGAACCACATGACAAAAATGTACACATTTTCCTTATGTCTTTGCTATGCTTTCCCTGCTGCTTTCTTCCTCTTTTTTTTTTTTGGTTGTCACTGACATTTCCTCAATTCCTGATTTCCAACACTCCCCTGCCTTCATTAGCTCTAAATGGTAGTGGCATCTAACAGTGAAAACATGACCAGGCAGATGCTGCAGGCAATGGGGAGGTTTCCATTTGCCAGAACARGGGCAGTTTGGTGCTGTACCCTGAAATCTGCTCAATATTTTACCCCAACACTTCCACCTCTTGAATCGGGCCCAGACACTGTTGTTAGAAAACAGGATTGTCCTTGCCCAGGGGACAAGTTTAGTTTCAGATACATTTTTTTAGTCTTTCCTGCGTGTGCAAATACTTGGTGTGAGGCCTGGCTTTTATTGCTCTCTTTTTCTTTTTTGCCAACACTACAGTTATGATTATTTTTATCTTATTTTACTCTCATGATGCATCTGTCCTTACTCAGCCTATGGGTTTTGCCTTTTTCCACTGGGAGCAGGGCAGGGGAGAGAGGGAGTGAGCGGCTCCGTGGTACTCAGCTGCTGGCTGAGGTTAAACCACAGCACCTGAGCAGGCAAAACTGTCTAAAAAAAGTGTAAATCCAAACCTGCAGAAGTGCCCTGTGCAGCCTTCCACACCAGTTCACAACCCCCGGGCTGCAGGGAGCTTTTGCAGCACAAAAAAAACTGACTTTGTCTGACTTTCCACAACAGAGGAAACTCCACATCCTCACACTAAACAAACTCACTGCTTTAGCACTCTGAGCCTAAATTCAGAGCTTCTAATTTCATTTAATGTATCTGTTTCTCCAGGAAATACCAGCTGAAAGCTGAAGAACATGTGTTGAAAAGCCTATAGAAACCACCAGAAATCCCTTCTGTGGTATGGTTAGGAAGATGGGAAAGTTTTGGCCTACATGCCCATTAATAAATTAGCCAATTGTATAATTCAGTTTGACAGCAGCTAAAGATTTTAAACATTTTAAAACTTCTTTGCTTTCTGTTTTTCCAGATAATTCCCTCGTGGAATTTTGGGTGGAAAATGAATGGAGGGAATTGCAGAYGCTCCAGAAGACTCAGATGGGAGAATATTTGACCCACCTCAATATGTGAGAAACGTAATAAAACAGACAGGTAGTAAGACAGTACACTYAGCAAGAGAGAAGAGAAAAGCTGTCAGCAGCCTTTTCAGAATCAGAACTCTGAGATTCTACTGCAAACACTTCTGGATGGGTGTTAGGGCTACACACTACGTTCCAGCAGGGCTCAATATCCCAGGAGTTCAGGGATTTACTAACCTTTATGACTGATGGAGCTTGAAAGCGTTTGGCAAAAGGCTGTTTGGAGTATTTGCATGTTTTCTGTTGGGAACAGTATCTCTGGATGTTCTAATTAATTCTGGCTTCCTGGCTATGACATTATTTGCTCCTGTGGGAAAGACTCTTAACTAAATTCACTGCAAAATAAACTCTGCTCTGAGTCTGGGACTGGTAAACCCTGCTTGATATTTTATGTTAACTAGATAGTTCTTTATTATCCTGCTTGAAATGTGTCCAGGTTGTGGGAGTGAATAAAGAAAGATAATAAAATACCAGTATGACATTTCACTATTATTTCAATATTTTCTCTCTGTCTGCAGGCCCTTTCTTGAGTTTCTGTTAAAGAAAAGTCATTCACTTTTCTTGAACTTCTGAAAAACAGGACTTTTGTGATACAAATAGGTGCAAAGAAACAATAGCTCCCAACTAAATGCCTTTATTTATATTTGTCCATCTCATTATTTCCACTGAAAGTGTCTGCAAGTTTCTGAATAGTTTTTTTGAATAGGCAGCAGCCTATTCAAAATCACAGGTCTTGAGGCTTTTTAGTCTAAAAATCTCACTGATCAACTTTAAAAAGCAAATATAGAAAAAATAATCCAAATCATCTTTGTGCATATTTCACAGAAATATGTAATTTCTGAAATTCTGTAATTTCATGGGCAATAAAACAGAGTAAAATACACTGAATGAATTCTTCTTTGCTGGTTTTTTTTCAGTGAAATCTCCCAAGAGACTGACAAAAGCAGAGAAATAATTTTGAAAAAAAAAAAAACAATTTTTACTAATAATCTTATATCTTCATCCAGAAAACTACTAAAAGTACTTCAGGTACTTATAGATAAAAGTTTTAAAACAAGCTAAGGGCTATGGGGTTTCAGATGAGCATGCTCAGAGGCTTCTCTGTAACAGAGCTCTCTTCTGCCAGATATATGGAACCTCCCAAAAGATACTTGATCACTTACAACATTAAGAAATCCAAACAGGAATTAAAAACCTAAATTAAGGCAAAAGTTAACAAAAGTCTAAGAGATAGCCTGTAGCAAGGAGTGTCAGAATTACTGATCCACATTAATGTGAATATGCAGACCAAAATACAGCTGTAAATCACAGGGATCAACATTTGGTTATTTTTTGTAGCATTACAGAATAACTCACAAACTATCCTCTCTCTCTTCCTAATTACCCTTCCTTTTTCTCTCCTCACTAACTTTGCAAGGGGATTTTGACAAATTAATCAAACCTCAAACTCTTTCCTTTTGTTTGAGCTAAATCACAGAGATCTCATGTCAGTAAAACAGTCAGGAAGGTTGGCCTTCACCAGACACTGAAACAAATGCAAGTCTTGAAAAACCCTCTCAGAACTGGTTCTCTTTTTGTGATAAATGATGACATACCACAAATGAAAAGCTGGCAAGGTGGCAAATAAATAAATCAAAGGAGATCTAAATTATATCAGAGGTTTCTTCTGCTCAGATAAATCCCATAAGAGTAAGAAATGCTGTACAGGTTACTAATGGGCACTTAAACACAGTGAAAGTTCTATTCATCTGGAAAATGCATAGGAAAGAACACAGACAGATTTTTCTTGATTTTTTAAAAGGCATCTTACCATTGCAATGTAGCTGGAGTTGAATGAGGTTTTGATGCTCTATTATTTTCTTTTTCCTCATCTGTTAAGAAACAAACAAACAAAAATGCCATGTAATTTCAGCAGRAATTTCTCAGGAATTCATGAACTGTTTTTTTTAAAAAGAAATCATTTATGAATGGCAAGAAAATTTTTTAAATTAATTAAAATAATTTTWAAACATTTAAAATGYTCTCAAGTGCCAAAACTTTCTCAAAATATTGGCTAAATTTTTGAAAATGTAAATAATGACCTTCCCTAAATTTCCATCTTTAGATACCACTTAAGGCCATAAACCCTGCAAATATCACTGATAGCAGGAGCAGAGTGGTGCCTAGGAATAATGACACTGAAAAGGAAAAATTTATATGGAAAAAAAGCAACTCTTTGATGTCTAGCCACACATTAGAACATGTGAACAGTTTCAYTTGCTATAGGGAAATGTTGTCTTATCCAATTTTTTATTAATAAGCCATTTAAACTAATGGGGTGCACCCASTGTTTGATCTTTATAAAAGATATGTACTAGATGTTTATAAATTTRCAGAGATTAATTCTGAAAGAGAAGAAGTGTATATTCTGTAATATACTTTATTCCTTTTTGGATGGTTTCTCTGATAATATTCCCCATTAACTGTTTCCAAGTCACCTCTGATTTGCCAACTTTCCAAAAATTTGGACAAAAGATGAATACAGGAAAAGATAATGAAAATAAAACTTCAACTATTGGATTCCTCCTAGTTCACATTTGTTCTTTTGAAACAATTTAGAATTATGCATAGAATAATTCCTATTAAATTGTGGTTTTTGCACCCTTCCCATTCTTCCCCCAGCTGTTTTTCACGTGCATTCAGGGTGAGCACCAGTGAGCTGTCCCTAAGCTGCTCTCAGACACGTTCAGCTCCTCCCATGGAAGGATTTGTTTCAGCAACACAAACCAACAATTAGGTCATAAACTGCAATTTATATCTCCCTCCTCAGGTGTGTTTCCTTCCTGGGGAAAGTCCTTCTTTGAGACTCTTCAGCATCCTCCATTAAGTGTCCCTTAAAACCAAGGAGAACRCTGGACTGAAACCTTCACTCAAAAAAATTCTTTAATCATTATTTTTTAAAATATTACCCATTGAACAACCAGATTTTCAACAAAGCTAAATTTTTCACAGAGTTAGTGTTTGTCTCCCCAAAATCAATTCTCTGTACAAGAAAAAAGTGCAAACTTTGTTTCCTGCCAATGGGCCAGCTATCAGCCAAACCTTCATTTTTCTGCAAAAAGGATGGAAATAATTACAGGAATAGACAGGACCTAGAAATAGAAATTCTCAGTATCACCTGYACAACTTTACTGTGCTACCTTGTATAGTTTAATAATATAATCTCATTGGATAATTGACTAGCAAAAAAWAATAAATATCTCTGTTCCTAATATTTCAGCTGGCTGCAGGGCACCTAATGGTGATGTTTTATGTAATTCTTGACTCAGGTCTGATCCCAGATCATTGTCTAGCATGAAAGAAGGAAGGGAAAGCAGCACTTCTTACTTTTTRGCCTGTCATTTTATCAATTCCCATAAAAACAACACTGTAGATTAAAATKGACTCATACCTTCTAAAATTCAAGGCTTTTAAAATCCAGTCAGTTTTGTAGGAAGAGGAAATAAAATCACTGACAAGAAGTCCTGCTTGGAGGCACTGTCCAAGAAGAGATGTGACCATAGTTCTGTGACAAGGAATTCCTTGTAGCCACAAGGAAAAACCTTGTTTGTGATTCCCAGCTGCAGGAGTTCACACACAGAAACCCAGCCAGCATCCCAAGGAAAGGTGATTCCAAGATACCAAATTAGCTGGAAAACCTGGTGCTCGTCCCAAACTGAATGCAGGTAATAGTTCAGACAGCTGCAGGTCAAATTCTCAACAAAGAAGGGGCCTTCAAACATACTAAAACCAGGGATCATCAGTGTTCTAGAAAAACARTATTTCTTGGCTATCTGAGAATCTTTTTCTTCCCCAAACTCCATGGAAGTTTCTTCATTAACAGCTCCASTTTACTTTCAAAATCCTGTTTCAAAGCCACTCAAGTAGAGTTCWGTTTGCACCTCGTGCCTGTTTGTGTCTTTGTGGCTTTCCCTGAGCTCTTAGTGCTGTTTCTCCAATTTCTGCTGTGTGATTCCAGCTCCAGCTCCAGGGATTTCCTGCTTCTTGGTGCAAGACATGCAGACAACAGCAGCTCGTGGAGTCTGCTGCCTTAACCACAGAGGGWGGAACCACCCAAAGTGGAGACAAACCTTTTTCCAAAGCGCTGGTGTTGGTCTGTTGGTCATAATTCAAATGGAGCAAAGTTCTTCTTTCCCCTGTGGAGCTCACTGGAGATCCCTGGACTTTCCAGTGCTGCTGCGTGGTGTGTCCCAAAACCACTGAGGATCTAAACATCTTTACATGGATAAAATCATTYCCTTTGTTCAGGCAGCTCCATGCTYTTCAGCCTCTTCTCTGTAGTCCCTGCAGTCCAAATCTGACTGTTCTAAGAAGTGATTTGGCCTTAGCTAAAATTAAATGATAGCAAGAAGCTATCTTGTCTCTTACTTATGTGCAGCCATAAATGAGATTCAGGCTCGTTAGCACGTATCCCATGCTTTTAGAAGAGTGGCATTTTTAAAGCCCTCTGAGAAATTTGGGAGCACAGTTCTCACTGAGCAGGTGTGACTGGAAAAGAGAATTTTCACCAAGGAAAATGTCGGTGAAAACAAGCAGCTCGTTTTTAAACTTTTTTTTTTTTTTTTTTTAATGGAAGAATAAGAGGTTTAGTTCCAACAAAAAAACAGAGCTGCTGGATCAGTCCATTACAGCCAGAATGAACATGGATTTTGAATGCCACTTTTGAAGCACAAAAAGCAGTCTGAATATTTTCTTTGTTCTCACAGGAGCTGTCTACACATTCGTATTTCCAAATAACCAAGAAAATTTGGACCAGCAACCCTTCCACTTCATCAAGTAACATCATGATTCCTTCTCCAYGGAACTGAAGCTGAAACTTTCATAAGCCTTTATTTGTGTTCTTCCAGATCCCTATTTCAATTTGRATAATCTGGTTCAATGCACAGTACACAGAAAATGTTATGGGGTTGGGGTTTTTTTAATTATTGGATACAAGGTGTTACCATTTCCCTTTCCTGTGAACCTTTTGGTTAATGTGGAATGTGGAAGTGGTAGCAGGAAAAAATGAAATCATCCAGAAAAAAAACCCAAAAAAACCAAAAACCCCAGTCCCAAGAGCAGGCAATATTCTCAGTAAGAACATTATCAGTTCTCAGCACAAATTCTCACAATCCTCAGTGGGGCCAAGGTCAAAGAAAAMCACCAACTGAAAACCAAACCCACATTTTATCTGATTGTCCAGCCAACATCTGCCTCAGGTATGCAGAGACAAAAAGCCAGTCAAGAGAAAGGGGGATGATGCTTTCTTTTGGTTGCAGATGGAAACAGCAATTTGACCACCATTCTGAAGAATAAATAGGATTACGTGAGTTTTCTCAAAGCATTTTGCCTCCTGCTTTGTTTGCAAATTTATGACAGAGGCTGGACAAAGGGCAGCACAATGATTTGGAAATTTCTTGTTGATGTGAGGGTGCTGTTAGAAAAATGTTAGAAAGAACTCAAGGGCTGGAAGGGAGCACGTAGGACAATGATTTCCATGGTGAAACTGCTGGTTTGTTCTGGATTTCTCAGATTATTGGTCTTGCTGCTGTGGCTTATTTTGCTTTCCTACTTCTTCCTCTTCACCTTCTCCCCTCCCTCACCTCCCCCTCAAAACAAGGATGACTTTTCAGGTGGATTAATTCTCTTATCTGCCGTGCAGAAATGCTGGCAATCAGTGCAAAGGAAGCATCTGGAAGAACTGCCTATTAAGAAAGGAGCCTGATAAAATCAACTCTGCCTCTCATTTGGGCTTCCTTTATGTGCTCTGACAATGTCCTCTGCACAGGAATAGTGGAACCAACTCGTTTGTGTGTTTGTTTTATCAGCTTTAAATTATCATTTTCATGGCTTGCCCCTTGATTCCAGAACCAGGAAACAGAAGGAACCACCATCCCATCTTCTCACTGCCCCTGTTTGAAATATCTGCTCTCCTTCACCACCCAAGGCCTGTTTTCTCTGGCCTCAGCTTGTGGAAACTTCTCATGCTCACATTTGAAGCACACAGAGCAATTCTGAATTCTGATCCTATTAAGAATCTGAAGCCACATCTCATTCATCACAGATTCCTTCCATCACTTTCTCAGCAGCATCAGAGTGAAATGAACTTTGTATGTCTCACAGGTTCTCAYAAAACTCAAAATAACAAGCTGATATTTGTATTTTCACTGCAGTCCACTACATTTTTTAAAAAGTAATTAATTTCTCTTCCTTAGCTTTTAAAAGCAAAATCTCCCAACCTCTCCCAGTTTCATTGTCCACTGTTCTTAGCTTGGGAGTCATGAATAAATACCACATTTCYACTAACATCTTCCTCTCCTTCAGAAATATTGCCTCAAAAGATATCCCTGGACAGAGTAAGGCCCCAACACAGTAAATTTCATGATCCATTACAAAATTGTGCTACAAGGTATGCGATTTTACCATGTCATCAAAATAAATAATTCTCTTCAAATGTAAAAAATGTAAAAGGGAATTGCAGGAATTAAGTTATTTAAAATATACTTTCTAAACTCATATCTAGGAAATGTAAATGACTAGTTACTGAATTAAAGAATTCCATCTGCATTAATATCTTKTGACATGAATATGTGAAGTCCTGAAAAAAAAACTAGCATGAAGAGTATTTTGCTTTGGGCAAGTTAACCAGAATAGAAATTGCATRAACAGGGAAATGGTAAACTAGAAATCATTGTGCAGTTTTAAAAATAAACTATTTGGTTATTTTAAACTAGTTTGAAATAGTTTTGATTACCACTGTTGTTAAAAAATCAAGATCTAAAATTACTATCACTGGAAAAGAAAAAAAAATAGCTATTTTAAATTCAGCTCCCTTGATAATGGTTTCCTCTCTCTGAAGAGAAAACAATAYAATGTTTTGATATGTGATTTTTTTAATCTCATGATTGTTTAAGTCCTTAAAATTAATTAATTCCTTAAAATTAATAATTCCTTAATTAATTCCTTAAAAGGAAAAATTTTTTATTAATGTTTTGATATAGTAGTGTTGGAAAGCAGCACAAATTATTTCCTCTATTTTGACCACGTGGTGTTGAGTGAAAAGAAAAACAGGTGGTTTTTCTCCTARGCTAATCCTAACAGCACATTTTAGAGGTCACCCAACCTTTATTCAGTGACACRGAAATTCTTCTTGCTGTTTTAACCAACAGATTATTATTTATTTCCTTTTAAAAAATACTAACGTTCCAGGAAAAAAAAATTGAAACTATTGAGTAYGTCAAGCAAGTTGACTCTTTAAACTACACTAAAAAATATCATTGAGATGTAGCAACTTATTTAGGAGGAAATGAGCACTTGGACRTGTTCATACCCACTTTAAACAAATTACAAGTTACTTACTTTCATCGTTAGAAACATTCCCCAGAGAGGTGTGACTGGAATAACGTTTGTTTTCACTTTCATTGAGACATCGTTCGATCCAACTCTCTGCAAAAAACAAAAAAAAAAATGAACAAAGATGCTCTTTTTTGTGTGTTTGTCATTGCATAAAATATAACCCTGCAATGGATAAATCTAAATAAAGTGCCAGTATTCAACAGATGGTGATCTCGAACATTTCTGTTAAAACATGCTCAGTCTGAGGTTATTTATCAAGAAAATCCTTTCTTGCTTTCAAACTTAGCTGTTGTTTTCTGTTTCATTGTTTCTCTTTTGGGGGATTTTTGTGTTTTGGGGTTTTTTTTGTTTCTTTTGGAGCATTTTTGGGGTTTTTTTTGGTTGTTTTTTTTTTTGTTTTCAAACTACAGAGGCTGAAACACTTCTGTGTACAAGACAAAAGTCCTCGGGATATTCTCTCCCCCATCACATGATACATTAAAAATTAAAAATCAGCTGAAACACAGAAATTGCATTTGTTTCCAAGTCATAGTCTGGCAAAGGCTTAGATCCTCGAGTGTTTCCACTGCTTTTGAAAGCAATCCCAGCGTGTATAAATCAATCATTCATGTGAATTTTGGTTAAACTGAGGMTCAAACCCTCTCTGAAGCCCAGCCCTACAACCTCACTCACACTGGTGCAGTTCCAGGCACTCCAGAGAACTTTTCCTCACTGGCACAAGTCCAATGCAATGAATCAGAAACCTCTGAGCTGCTCAAACCTTTGTCACCCCRCAGTGCAAATGTTCCTCCCCGTTTTTTCAATTTATTCTTGCCAGTCAGGTGAGTTACCTACAGCATTACACTGATTTGAATCCGCTGCTTTTCCTGGAAGCTTTAACTCACATCCCCCAATGAGTTTAGAGGATGCACCAAGCTCAGCAGAATTTACTGTTACAGGTCTTCAGGGCAAAAGTTACACCTTCTTATGTGTTTCCTCGGACAAAGTATGAAATATGAGCTCTTGAGTTTGCCTAAATCCCTGGGTATTGCAACAATAATCTGACCTTCCCCAGAAGGTTGTTTTTCAAGGGCGTGAATGAGTTTATTCTCAGAAAGCTCCCTGTGGTCAAAGCAGGAGAAAGAAGGGATAAAGAGAGCAGGCTGCAGGGCAGGGAAAAAACCCCACAGAGTGAAGAGGCACGAGGGGAAGCAGGTTTCTGCTGGAGCCAAAAACACCTTCAAAGGCTTGGGAATGGCTCCAGGCTCCTCTCCATAACCCCCGTTGTACACCAGGCTACCTGCACTGCACAGGCAGCAGGAACTCATGGAAAACTGCACAGACACAGCATCCTGCCAGCCAGCAGGAACTCATGGAAAACAGGAGCCCAGCTCCTTGGGAAAGCTGCCCATCTGGTTGGTGGGAGATAAAAGTTGGTATGACTTCATTYCAGCACTAGATGTCAATAAACAAAGAAATGAATGGTGGTGGCCAAATACATCCTGCAGGAAAAAAGTGCTTTTTAAACCCAGGCAGTTGAATAAACCTGTGCATATTGCTCTGTACACACCCTCTCTCCACTGTCACACGAACCAAAGGGCAGCAGCACCCGTGCAGAAGCTCAGAGTGACTCTGCTGAGAACCCTCCAGTGCTGCTTGTGTGCTTCTGGATTTCAGGCAGTGCTGTGGCAGCTCCAGGCTATTCCCCTCCCTCTGCCCCTCTGCCCACATGTTCACAGGAGGAAAATTCTGCGGTGCTGCCTTCATCAGYACAAGAACGTCCCTGAATCTTCCACATTCACCCCCAAATTTGTGCCGGAGAAGCCTCACAACCCCAGCGCCTGCTCCTTCGAGGTTCTTCTCTGAAAACCATCCTAATTGGCAATAGGGTATTTCTTCTCTCACCAAATTCAACACCACTTTTACAAACCCACAGTAAGCCTGCTGCCCCCAGGACATGGGAYCAGCCCCTTCTCCCTTCCAAACCCACTGGAGCAGCTCCAGCTTCGAGCCTTTCCCTGCTKCTGGGGTGGGGATCCATCCCCTCCTTGTCCGAGGGCCATGGCTGCCCAGTGCCTGATGGCTTTTACTGCCCCAAAACTCGGCTGACAGCATCTCCCCAGCCCCGCTTTTGTCCCGTGAGCCGTTCTACAGGTGAAGAGAAACTSGCTGCCCAGGGCAGCATCACAGAGAGGTGTGAGGAGCCTTGTGAAGGATCACCCTTCCTCCTCCTCCTGATCCTTGGAGCACACAGCCATGCCTGTACATCATTCCCTTGGCTCCCAGCCCAGTAAAAGCGACGGCGGCTGCCCACAGCGCCAAGGGGAGAGCGATGCCCAGCTCTGCCCTTTCTTTCCCTGCCCGCACCGAGAGCTGGGAAGAAGGGATGCATCCTCTTCCCTGGGCAGAGGGAATTGCCAGCAGCCATCTTTACTCAAATTCCCCGCCGATGTAGTAGGAAAAAWAAAAAMWTTTAAAGCATTTTCATCACCCTYGTGTCTGMYAASCGCGCGCATTCCCGTTTTGGGCTGGAAAAGCAGAAGGTTTACCCTGCCGTGGGTAAAGTATTTAATTGTGTGGTCCTGAATCAGCCCCGCTCAGCCTGAGTCTGGCGTCCTCTTTGTGGCCTTGCATTTAAATGGCTGATAGGAATTCTTCGGGACTGAAAAGATACATGACCTGTCTGGCGGCACAGAATGAAGAAAACTAACTCTTTTGAGCGCAAATGTCGGGAGTTTATGGCAAATCTGTCAAATTATTTTGTGATAAAACCAGCTGACCATTTAAAGGTTGTTTTATCTCATAAAACAAACTATGTGAGTATAAATAAATTTTCTAATAAACACCTTCATTTAATAAAGTAGCTAGTTTTTAGTGTTTGTATAAAGAAAAACATTTTTACAATRCTTTAAACTCCTGATAATAATAACAGTACCTTCAGACATTAAAAGAAAATACAGCTACRGTTTTGCTAAAATTTTAAATATTCCCATCGGGAGCCTGAAAATCCCAGACACRACAACACCTGCCCAAAAAAGAAACAAAGGGAGAAAGAGGCAGAGCAAACAAAATCAAAACTCAGCATTAAGTCTGACTTTTAGCTCTTTCAGAGTTAACAACATTCGATCCTGCTCCAGAATAAGGGCAGAAAAAGCCCTCTACACATGGAATGCTCGTGTTCTCGGGATGCAGGGATGTAAGAGCTGTAAGAAAGGCCCATGGGGAGCCCCGGGTGTCCATCCCAGAGCTGGCACCAGACACATCACACCACTGCTCTAAATGTGTGGTGAGTGAGGTGGGATGGAAGGTTTTCTGTGGTTAAAGATCAATTATTGCACTTAGACCTTGCAAAGTTCTCAAAGACAGGAATTCACACCACAAGAACTCAGAGAGTGATGGAGAGCTCAGTGAGCAACTCGTGAACACAACATGAGAAATCCCAAATTTCTGATGGGAAGTGCTTATGAGAACAAAAGAAACTACTTCCTAATAGAGRCTGTATTTTTCCCTGCTGTTTTTGGTGTATCCAGCCTTACAGCATTCCCTCTCCCCACCAAGGATCCCCACCAGCATCCTGACCCTCAGCTGTACTGGAACAGTGGCTGGGACAGGGATCAGCACCAGGAAAAAGGCAAAAAAAAAACCAGATTAGGAAAATCTAGTAGCAAAATGTAGCATAGTCACATACTGATAAACGTGACTCAGTACAGTTACTACCATAATCTCATTGGCAACGAGAGAAATTGTGCTTTTAATGGCATTTTAAAGATCCATCTTTAAATATTGTGGCAACTGTTTAATTTCACACAGGTTGAGACTGAACTGTAGTGAAACACTCAACTATGCTCCCCAGCCTTWAAGTTTTTATTATATAATTTTGTCTACCACTAAATACAAATAGACTGCATCTGCTGTGAGATTCCTGCTTGAGGGAAAAGAGATCCTTATTCAAGTTACAGTAATTTTTTCAGTGTAAATATTCTGACAGAATAACTTACACAAACAAACAAAAAAAATAGAAATTGTTACAAATTAAATGCTGAAAGATTAATTAAAAACAGCTATGGAGCTATTTCTGGCCCTCATTCTGCCTCTTCTCTTTTCGATCCCGATAAGACTGGCACATCCACTGTGACTCAAGAACGAGAGTATTTCACTTCCAGTTTGTTTTCAAAAGTGGGCAGAGCAGAATTCATGTAGCTTCAAACTGTCCCCACCAAGGCACTCCTTTTCACACAATCAGTATATTTTAATTTGTATGGTGTTTCAAAGGCTGAGCTGGGGAGGGACTCCCCAGCCACAAACACACTGTGGCTGCTCAGGGGCAGGGACTTCCATGAACTGGCAGAAATGAGCAGCACAAATGTTCTTTTAATATCTATTTGATTAATTATTTTGGRATGTTTCTCCTTTGGAAGGAAAGGCTGGCTTTGGGAAGACACCTCTGAAAGGCTTCTCCCTACAGAGCAGAGCTGAGAGATAAAGCAGAGCTGTGGTGCCAGCASATTTAATGAGATAATTAGCCCCTCTTGTTTGTGCAGTGGTCATYAGCTGCTGAGATGAGAACTCCCATGTCCTACAGAGACAGCCAAGGCTTTGGTAATGTCAATATCCATTTGCACAATCATTTATTCCATCAGAGCCATGGCAATTGCATGGAGGTCCCTCCCTCTCATGTGTCTTCAGCTCTAGATTGGCTCTCAGACTCCAAATTTTAACTTCACCAAATGAGCAYGATGGCATTTCTTCCACAGGATTTTTTTTTTTCTCACTGAAATGGAGTTATCACTGGAATATAAGGTTTGCTAAGACCCAAACCACTGAGTTACATTTGGATGGCACAGCAGCAACAGTCCAACTCCTTGTCTTTATTCATGATTGCTCTTGTATTTTTTTGCCCCAGTTTCTCAAGGCAAATTAAAAAAAAATAAATAAATTCTAAGTAACCAGGAGCAAAGGTATCTAAAATAAGATAATGCAAATATAAAGGGACTACCACATTTTAGTGGATTTGTAAGAGGACCTGCTGGGAAAATGAATATTTAAGAGTGATGACAGACTTAATTGTACAGTTCCAGTGACAGGGGAGGAACTCTTGTCATGCATACAGA